ATTTTTTTCATGCGGAGAAAGCCTTCGTAGTGGTCATAATCTTTAGAAAAAGGATGTGAGCAAGTAAAATCGTATGTTAACAGTTGATGATCAATAATGAACACACAAATCGAACCCCCTCCCCCACTTGTATATTAGATATGGGATGAGAGAGAATAAAATGTGCTTTAAATGAATAACGGTGTTGGCTTTTTTCGGCTGTTAGACACGTACTTAAGCAATACGCATTTAAAGAAACAAACAATCATTCAAACGACCTTGCTGTATACCGTTTAGAAATCTAAATAAAGCCAGGCGTAACCTATTAACTGCATGAATATTTACATATCAGTTTGAATACGCCATTTAATTTTACTTCACAAGGCGAGTCACATTGTATCTCCAATGTTTGTTGTTAAAGCTCAATTGATGACGTCAAATTAAATTAATGTATATGTCTAATGGGTAAAAAAATAACTAACAAATTACATAAAAAAATAAATTGTAAACAACAAACTATCGACATTTATAGTTTTATTTTATGTACATCCTTACATGTTTACAACACACATATTCAGTAAATAATTTTCATTTCCTGCTTTGTTGTAACACTTTTTTTGTTCTAAAACCGCACAGAAAAAGGGTGGTACGGTACATAATGTTGCTTTTTTATTTTTATTTTTCTATTTTTCCTCTTAGATAATTTCTTTTCCTTTTTTCTGCAGTTTGTCTTTTTTATGGATAGTTTCCAGTACTTTTTCAGGATTGTACACATTTAGAGAAAGATTAAAATGGTTACGGCTAAGATGTGTATTTTGTGTTCCTATCTGTCAACAAAAGGGATTGTCGTCAGTTAAGACAATTGATAGGTATGGCGGTATTTGGACCATGTCCAACCAATGCCTGGTTTTTCTTTGCGTATCATTAATCAGCCTGACAGATCCCATAGCTAGGTGATGACGTATCTGGTCATTTACAAACTGAACTATATAAATCCCTCTGTATTACGTAAATTGTTGATTTGGTAGCGGCAGTAAAGTATAAGCCTGTTTGTGTTTAAGATTTATATATATATATATGTATTAGCACCGTAGACTTGGTATCATAATTTATTTATTGTATTACGTACACAGTCTTAATATATATATATATCGTGACAATACTGGCCCTGTTTACTTTATAAGAGCAAACGACACTGATTATCAACACATTGATATTGGGATATCTACACATAATCCAGGTAAGCTGTATACTTTTATCACGATGCTTATGAGAACAAAGCTTATCCTAGACCTTATGCACTTTTGTTTCTAGATATATCCATGACCAATGTCAACTTTATTTTAGTAAATGAAAACCTTACTTATCAAAACCAAATGCCTTATAAACATGGTTCGATTAAGCTTTATTTCAAAACTTTTTAATTGACATTTGAACAAATAATTTAATCAGCGATAGTCCTTACGTCTGTAATTCTTGATTATTTCCGAACTTAAATTCAAATAACGCACTTTCCGCTTGATATGCCTATAACCTGTGAAATGGAATTGATAAACATCATGTGAAATTGGGCATTTGCAATATGCATCACATATTTGAAAAAATACTTAAATGTATTCTTTTCTCTTTTAGACATGAAGCCGACGAGTATGATGGTGCTTGGAATCGTATTGTGCCTTTCCCTCCTTGTGACGGAATGTGATACTCGCTTGTCAGCCAGACTTTTGGCACTGAGACATATCCGCCGACCATGTGAGATGAAGTGTCTGAGGTCTTACTATTCGTGTCGACGGACCTGTCAGAGAAGTCGCTGGTGTTTCTTCTCTTGTGTTACTAGATACAGGAGATGTTCCTCGGCACGAGTTTGTTGAAAATCCTATCGCAAACTGTAAAACGTGTATATAGATATGCAATGTAATACCAGAAATACATGTGATTCCTGCTCATCCTGCATACAGCTAACGCTTCCGAGGAAAATGATGACATACCGATAAAGGTGGTAGCGCGCCTTCATCTTGAAAACTAACACTCGTTAATGTAAATCCAAACCAAATGGACTTTGAAGATGATAAACGTTTACATCGATTGGATTTCTGATACGGGAACCAAAGGCGTTTGTATGACCGTTTTTCTGTGATTAACGTCTGTGAATTCTAACCCGGAATTAGATATTTCACTACGAAAAATGAGATGAAGATGATTGCGGTAATGCTATGGACTGTGATCAACCAACTCATATGACTTGCGTACTCGTGGCACTTACAACAGCTACTTAAAATTTAACCGATCGCTAAGAAAAGAGTTTCACTAAATATTGTGATAAGGGAATAAAATACACAATGAAAATAAAACATTGAACATTTTCAATTTGATCATGTTGTTATTGTCATTTTTCAGAAGTAGCCTCTTAGGTTTATCAATAGCTGTTAATGCTACATCTACGTATTGCCAATATTTCATCAATATGCAAAACAGGGTTCCGTGCGCTGTTGCTTATTAATTCCCTTTGGCAATTTTGTTCGTCATATCAAAGGCATAAATACGTTTTGAATTGATGTTAACTGTTAACGTTGTATAAGCGGTATCAAAATAGTACAATTGTCATTGTATTTATTATAGTGTATACATATGGCACACGCAATTATCAAATTGTGTGATATTTCAGACATTGTCTGTATGCACTAGATGTCAGCATTCGTGTACAAAGGCTCTGAGAATGAATAAATTAAAAGTCAATTTTTTATAAGTATGACGATTCGAAATTACAATCATTTAAAAACTTTTTTGTTGCAACACAAACACTAACCCAACTCCTGTTTCTCCCGATGTTTTTATATTGTAGCATTCTGACAAACCGTTTATTACATGAGGGGTCTGTTTAAGGACGTTTTAGATTTTTTTTGTCCTTTGACAAAGATATTTCAAAATGAGGGTTTCCGTCCGGACAAACAGCGACATAAAGAACTGTTTTGTTTCTCCAATATTATTGTTTTGCCAACAAAGAAACATTATTTCAATATACTTTGAGTGTATCCTTCGTGAAGAAGATAATATTAAATATACAACTATTCAAATATTTTCCTAATAGAGTTTATTTCAAATTAGCAATCATGCATATCCTTGCATGAGGAGTAAGACCAACATGTAAAATTATCTGTGTGTTAATAACAATAGTCATGTCGTCACATAGACAATCTCTAGTTAAAGTACAATCGAGTTTTACAGTCAACTGGAACAAAATGTTGTCATAAAATGTGTCGTGCGCAGATAGGTATAAAAAGTTAACGTTTGGTCTCCATTAACGTAAATGAAATTTACAATTTACAATCGTACAACATTTGAACGTTCAAACATTGGATGCGACAGTTTTCTGATATCATGTTAACCCTACACAGGAAACAAAATACAGCGTATTCGGAATCCAAATTGTATAAAGAAACGTTTATATCTAAGACGTCTGCAATAGAAATAAATAGATTGACAATTTGTTGTAAAGTAATGTCAATCATCTTTATCCTGATAGTTATGTATAATGACAAACAAAGAATTAGACATAATGTAAAAGAAGAAATGATAACCGCGATTCTCAATTAGAAATTGTGGAGTAGGGCCAATACCAACTGGTCAAATGAAACATGTCTGCATGAAGAATGAAATGTTATACGAGAAAATGGGGAGTAATCTAATGATTGACACTCGATCAGTAGCGTATAAACATAGACGCCTTCCTATCTAGGACAGTGACTAATGATTGACACTCAAGCAATACCTTATAAACACTGACACCTTCCTACTAAGGACAGTGATTAATAATTGATACTTGACGCCTTCCTATTAAGGACGGTGACTAATGATTGACACTCGAGCAGTACCGTATAAACACTGAAACCTTCCTACTAAGGACGGTGACTAATGATTGACACTCGAGCAATACCTTATAAACACTGACGCCTTCCTATTAAGGACGGTGACTAATGATTGACACTCGAGCAATACCTTATAAACACTGACGCCTTCCTATTAAGGACGGTGACTAATGATTGACACTCGAGCAATACCTTATAAACACTGACGCCTTCCTATTAAGGACGGTGACTAATGATTGACACTCGAGCAATACCTTATAAACACTGACGCCTTCCTATTAAGGACGGTGACTAATGATTGACACTCGAGCAATACCTTATAAACACTGACGCCTTCCTACTAAGGATAGTGACTAATGATTGACACTTGACGCCTTCCTACTAAGGACAGTGACACAATGCCGTTCTGATAATTGTAGAGTCATATAGGTTTAGTCATGAATAATTAATGACAATTAATCTGATAAAGATACCCTTCTCCCGATCAATCTATATGGTATTGGCTTACATTCACTACCAACTCTCCAGTAGTAGATGTTTCATTAAATCTTAGTTATCGATTTCGCCAACGCCATGGCAAGAATATAAATTCCTGGATAAGTTAACCTGGAAAAGTACTTTTAAAATTCTCCACAACAACTGATTAATGAAGGTAAGTTGATATTTATGATGTATTAATGTTCTTCCGCCATCCAAATTTCTGAAATGCCACCCACCTTGTTCTGGTACTTAGTCACTAATAGTTTTTTCTCTCTCGTTTGTCATTGGTAGCTAGAGTGGAACAAAAAATATATGCAAACGATATTAATAACGTCAAAAATGATACATACAGTCTTATTTATGTAACAGTAATTTCATATTCATCTTCATAGTGTTGTCGACAAATTTCCTTACACCGGGTTACTTTGATGAGACGATATCTTGCTTGATTTGTGGTGTAATATCATTATTTGGAAGCTTCGTCTTAGTTTAATAAGTTGAAATACCCTGCCAGTACATAAATTATTAAGGTCCTGTTAAAGTAAATATGCGATTACATACGTTCAGTTATTATCTATCTATATATATATTTATCGAAGTCAATAATTTCTTTGTTTTATTAGAGTCGGCCTCAATCCTGCCCAGTATTTTGTGAGGACATTAAACGGAGACATCATGGCATATCATCCTAACATCAGTGAAAATGATCTTATCGACAACAGTACCGAAGGTCGATCATTGGGACGTTCTTCTTCATATGATGACGTATTATTTATAATGTATGGCGTCATCGTGCCACTTGTGGTGGTCTTCGGCTACGTGGGTAACATTATGACGGCAGTGGTTTTAAGGAAGCAGACCATGTCGCCCATTGCTTACCTGTTTCTGCAGGCACTGGTGTTGTCGGATATCTTCTTCATAACCTGTGCCTTCATGGCACTCTCTATGCCTGTGTTATTGGGTGTATGGGTGGACCTTGATTTCGGTCTGAATGTTTTTAACACCCTTGGGTATACCACAATAAACTACCTCCTTATGACGTCACAGTTATGCAACGAATATATCCTAGTTTTAGTATCAATTGACAGGTATGTATGTGTGTGTCACCCAATGACACATGCTCAACTCTTCACAAAGTTTAGAGTGCTAGTGTCCATTGTAGGAGTTTTGTGTTTTTCGACGATTTACAATATCCCTCGAATAGTGGCAGTAAAAATAAAAGAGTCCCCCTGTTTAGACAGCAGAAGAACCTGTTACTCTGTTTATCTGTCCGAGATCGGAGAGAGCTTCTTGTACCAGAAAATGTATGCTGTATGGATATATGCCGTGATCAATTTTGTGATCCCTATTTTAGTTCTGTTTCTACTTAACATTCTCGTCGTTAGAAAACTAATGAGAAAACAATTCAAGCGCAGACGACTCGGACTAAGGAAAAATTCAGCCAAAGACCGCGTCACCATTACACTTGTACTTATTATGACAATTTTCGCCCTGATACAGACTCTTGGATTTATTAATCAGATTCATTATGTGTATATGTTTGACGATAGTCATGATCACACGAGAACATACTTAGTTGATGTTGTGAACGTGTTATACGTTGTCAATTCAAGCATCAATTTCATTATCTATATAGCTGTTGGGAAAACATTCCGAGCAAATTTTTCACAACTTATTCCATTTCGATGCATTGGTAATTAATATTGAGACAAATATTGTCGATAAGAACCATAATTTATATAGTGAACACTTTCACCCACACTATCATCTAATTTATTAGCTTCCCTAAATGCTGAAGGTTCGCTTGTAACATCCTTACAGAAAATATTTTAATACCATTAATAAAGGAGGTGACATTTGGAGACAGTATTAGAAAGAATTAAGCCAAATGAAAAGCGCAGTGTGTAAAAACAAGCTGAAAGTCCCAAATTGTATTTAGAACATCGACAAATCACCTCTGTTTTTCACTGATATTTCTTTATCTATCAACTTTACTCTGCATTGGAGTAAGAAGTAAAGTCAAAAGACTGTTAACTCCTCGAATAACAAAGTCATAAGTGAATTACTGGCACTAATACAGGAAATGTTTCTTATAGATTTGCTTTGTCTCAAAAGTTGAAGAGAATAAGGCGAAATGTATGGCAAAGCAATTCTCATTTATTCTTGGGAAAATATTTATCTAATATCTGATCTAATCTTATAATTTACAAATTGTTGTTTCGTTTTAAGATATTTTATATGTCTGTAAGATTTCTTGGAGTTTATTTGATGTTTTATTTATGATATAATCCATATGTTATACAAAGATATCTCATTAACTTCCCTTGAAAAGATATCATTCATTTTACGATAAAAATTATAACAGATAGATATCTTATTAAGTTTTTAAGATATCTCACTTAATTTTGTTTTAAATAACTCTTATATAAATATACTTTATTAGACATTTTATGAATTCTATAAGACACAATATTCATTTTACGAGATATCTTATATAATATAAAAATTAAAAGGATGCTATATATCTTATATATAAGTGTATGACACAAAAGTATAAAGTTTTCACATAAAAAGAAGTATATATTATATAATTTAGTTAAGTACTAGATCTACATATTTCGTGAAAAAATGAATGAAAACTTGACTTGTCATGTTAAAATGTGCTCGGAGATTTCTTAACGATAACACCATTACAATCCATGAAATTTCTATAACTCTGCTGCATGATTTTAAAAAATGTTAGAAAAAGCAACTCAAAACATTATCTATTTCCTTGATGTTTTTTATCGTTTCCTTAAATATTTTAAATAAACTGCCCAGCCTATTGGTAGATATTCAGAGATATGTATCAACTGTTTTAGACAACTATAATTAGTATAGGATCCCTCATTTCACTGTGTTTTCTGTTCTTGTTTCATTGAGATCCGACAAAACCCCGTTACAATCATCGTTTCTTTGACCTTAATCAGCATAGATCGTATATTTTTGGTCAATCAAGAAAGGTAATCTATCATTGACCAATCAGGAAAGGTAATCTATTATTGACCAATCAGGAAAGATAATCTATTATTGACCAATCAGGAAAGGTAATCTATCATTGACCAATCAAGAAAGGTAATCTATTATTGACCAATCAGGAAAGGTAATCTATTATTGACCAATCAGGAAAGGTAATCTATCATTGACCAATCAAGAAAGGTAATCTATTATTGACCAATCAGGAAAGGTAATCTATTATTGACCAATAAGGAAAAATGCATCAATTCTTTACCAACCCATTGCCTGACATTCGAAATATGCAAATAACTCCAAAAAGCGATTCATTGTTAAATTGTGCAGTTATGAAAATTTAGCCTTACATCGGCAATATTATGAAAGACAGAAGAGACATACTCAAGTCATTCATGAACTGTAACCACACGTTTAATTCACATGCGTTGTTTTATGACTCATATAGTAATTTTTGTGTTCTTCATATTCAATTCAAAAGAGCAACCCTTCCCTATTACGGTCTGATTATCATTGATAATTATAATACCCTATATTCATCATTTTGCATTGAAACCTCATCCATTTAAAGTTGCCTTCTCTGCTTGCCAATACACTGTAAACTGTGACAATTTTCGTCGCCTTTTAATGTTCACCCATTTCGCCATTTCGCCCTTCTATCATTAACTCGAACTTATCAGTTTTAAGGTAAAGCTGAAATATATGCTACTGTGCTGAAGACACATTGATTTTTTTAATGTAGAATTAAACTGGTGTTATACTGGTATGGATAAAGTTCTTGTAGTATCGTGTAATAACAGGTCTTCAAAAATCATTATATGTAGTGAATATACAATATACTCCTTGGCGATACCTAGTCAGTGATAGGGTATATCAGCGTGGCCTCACCTTATATAGTCTAGTGTTATTTACTTGTTCCTTTGGTGTTCCTGCAATAAAAAGAATAATTTATTTATATTCAGTTTCAAAATTGCAAAAAAAGTAGATTCGATTGTCAACGAACTTAAAATGGTGTATACTGGAAATGAGTAGAAAATAAGTCAGACATCTTAAACACCGATAGAATAAATCGGATCTAAAAAACTGACACAAAAACTACAGAAACAAGTGGGTCTAAATATTTCATACATTACTACATGTACTGTTGAATCGGAAGTCGAAAGTAATCGAAATAACTGATTGAATTAAAAAAGTAAATTGTGTTTATGATATATTCAGGCTCCAAAATTTCTATCTATGACGAAAACCAATGGGATTGTCCGCAAGTCATTATATTCATCAATAATTCATTTCTTTTAAGGTGTGGAAATGTTTAGATCAAATAGCGTAATTGAGTGGTTTCTCATGATAATACATACGGCTGGTTCACTAATCCCCTGGAGCGTTACATTTGAATAATTTAAAATCGCAATTTAATGCAAGTACTAATGTTGACAATACTGCGTCAGCCGAATGCCGTTTTACCGTTCTCAAAATGAAACATTATTGTAGTCACGTAAAGAGGCATAATTCCTAACGGACATTCTGGAAGTTTGAAGACCGTAAGGGGATTAACAGAAAATATTAGGGGTCTGTAGTACGTAACATTCGCTTTCTCTGTACGTGTGACGAAAACCATTAGTCAATCCAGCTAAAACCTGCTCCAGATAATCTTTGGACAATTACTTATAATCTTCGTTATCTGTTAATGATGTGGTACTACAAGTAAGACAATTTAACTGTCCTTACGGATAGTCTCAATACTCCCGTAACCAGGCAATTTGTGAAAGTCGAGTTTGCCAACAAAGGGGTTAACATTATTAACATTAGAAATATTCTACGCCAGACGTCTGACGAAACTGACATCACATACCTTACCTCCGGTATAGATATATCCTCCACGCTTTTTAATTGCAAACAAACGATGCAACAGTAAAGTTAAATGACAGAAGAATTACTCGATTACTTAAATTTATTTCAAGATATCTTGATGATGTTAACATGTCTTTCATATATACACTATAAACAATTGGAAATCAAGGACAGTCTCTTCTACATCAGCCGCTTATCTCGATCTATCCTCCACCTATATCCAACATGTACGAGTGATTAAGAGTGATGATTTCAATTTCTCTATTGTGAAGTTTCCATTTCTATAATGTAACGCCAGTTGATTCGATATTCAATTATTTACTACCAATATCTCGAATTTTACGACAGATGTCCATAGCTAACGAAACTGAAACACAGGTTTGATAAAGACTATTGGGAGTGATTTGGTCGCCACCATGATCTGATCGGGAAATTATATATTTCCTTTTGGGAATGGAATTCCATGCTCGTTACTATGACTGGTGGTATTTATTGTTTTTATCCATCTTCTAATTTGCGAATAACACATTAACTTACTTGGATTGGCCAAGAAATATGTGGCGGGTGTCATGGATGAAGCAGAAACTTTTGCCCTCGTCATAAATTTCGAATTTGATTCAAGATTTTGTTATAATGATATAATATTGTTATCATTGTCAAAAATACACCATCTCCTGACAAAAATACACCATCTGACAAAAATACACCATCTCCTGACAAAAATACACCATCTCCATTAAATGTAATATCACAAACTGACCGAGAAACACACTAAGAAAGCATTCAAAAGTACCTAGTGTTGTTTAAAGAGTGTTCAACTACTACCTGATAACGAGATGTAGAGTTAAGTTAGTGTTCATTTAAATGAACATTAGATTAGGAATGAAAATATTGAATAGTCAATACATAATTACAAATAAGATCCGAATTGAATGAATAAGTAAAAGAAAAATTAAGTTGTTAAATTCATACAAGTAATAATAGTCAAACAGATTTAGAACAGTGTGATCAAGGACTTAGAACAGTGTCTGCAAAGAATAAAATGCCTGTTTACTTGGTAACAGAACAAATACATAACTATGTCTTTCCCTGTGCACCAGATACTACAAACCTTATAGCAGATTGTGTACCTCTAAACTGATTGGAAAGCAGACATTAAAGAACAGAATTGTTGCTATCTGCTTCCTATCTACCAGAAAGGTTATCAATATATAATGGTTCCGCAGGTAAGATCATTTCTATAACCTAAAAACAGGGTATTAACGCCTAATACCTTGAGCTGTAGTCCACAGCCTAATTCAATGAAATTGTGATATTGAGAAAAAGTTTGGAAAACTGTGATATTTCATAATTTACCTATCTTTTTACTGTAATTTAATTAAAAATATAAGATGTTGTTTTAGGCCATAATGAAATAATAAATTGTGGGCAGAATTAATAAGACAAAACCGCTTAGAAAGATTTCAAATATAATTTATTTCAGTAATTCGGTTGACACTCGAGTAATTTTTTCTGTTGTAATGACAATCCCCTCTAACTATTGGCAATTAAAAAAAAAAAAAAAACGAAAATCGCCAGAGACATCAAATTGTAGGACTTGATAATAATATGACAGTGGGTAGATATGACATGATCACAGATCACAGTTGATTGGCAATAGGACCGTCACCAGATGTCATTCCATAACTAAATCATTCCTAATCAAACCCGCTAGTTATAGGTTATATACACATGAAACAGTACTTGGGAACAGATGAAAACATCATATGTGGCAACCATGCTTTGAATTACTTCAACTAACTAAAACAATCAATATCTAGGAGATAACAGGATTAACATTAAAGAATGAATAAAATGTATATAGTGAGGATTGGCTGGCAGTGAACTTTGAGATCAAAGAACCATCAGTTTTGTTGAGATTTATTTTATCATTCTTACAACTTATGGTATATGATTTGTATCACAATATTCCCTCAAGATGTTTCGGTCTTCTAGAAATCAAAAGCAACAAGCACTTGAATTTTATGATGTGAGTATGATATATGACTTGGATAACATTGGCAGGTTGAATCATCGCACTTCATGTGGAGGAAACGTACAATAAAATCAACATAACAGGATGCTTGATCATTAAAATAGGTAAGAAGAGAGAATTAAACTATTGTCTATATACATATATTAAAATAACAGCTATCTTGATAAATCGGGCACTTGCTGATAAACACAATTTTGTAGGTTTGGGTTTTTCTAGCATTTGATCCTATTAAATTTTTCTAGTTATGTAGCAGAAACGTACAAGGATATCCCTGCTCTATAAGAAATTGGAGGATCAAAATTTGTGAATGAGAAAAAAAAAATCTTTTTCATTAACATCAGTAATGGTGAGGAAAAAATGGAATAAATTGTAATTCTGTTGGAGAAAGAACATGGAATGCCATGTCGACACTGCCTATTTTAAGTATATATTAGCCGACATTAAGAATGGGCATCACAAAGATATATTAATCTACATTAGCTAATTCAAGTCAAACTTCAACTATGATATTAAGCCATCTTAATTGTCTTGGTATTTTGACATTTTGAATTGTTCTTTTTAATACATGCAATTTTACTATACTTTGGAGCAGGATGATTATGATGATAAGAATTATTCCATTTCAATTGTGTACCACAAATAATTACCAACTATACTCACCAAAACAAGGGTGTTCAAAATAAACAGAAAAATGCTCTTCAAAACTTTTATTTTCCTTCTGACAATAAAATCATTTAAATCTATCTCACAAATGCACAACTTTTCAAATGCAGCTCTTCATGTGAAAACACCATTTCCGATACAATATCGACAATATTTTGCATTAAATATTCCATCAACTGAACACTGGAAAATATCAATCAAACATCACTCTTCCATTAACTTTCACCATTTCACCAAGCATCCAGTGTATAACCATATCAAAAATGAGAAATAACATTTAATATAATTCTATCACTTTCATGCTAAATTTCCTATTCATTATTAATGATTTAATATCCTACACTTATTTAACACTTATTCAGGGCTTGTCAATCCGAAGAATTACCTTATCACACTGATCCAGTCTCTTATCAGAATAAAATATATGTACATGAATCTTTTTTTTTTAAACCAATTTATACAGCATAAAACACATTAATAAATAGGATGTAAATATTGCATTTACTCTCTGAATATATATACAATAAACATCAATTTACTTCTACCAAACAAATGAAATAAAATTTCATCAACACTTTATAAAGTTTTTTTGCCTCCTACTAATGTTCACAATAAATAATATGTTGTATTATCTCTCACCAAACAGAAGTAACTAGAGAAATAAAACAATAAATACATTCATAATTTTGTCAGATTTCATAACAGTCTAATTTTAATCAATTAACTTAACGGATCATCTATTGCAATCCTGTCCTTAAAGAACTGTGATGACAAAACTACATCAATTTGGCATGTTAATATTGGTAATAAGGCAATAAAACACTAAAAAGAGAAGAAATTAAAATTTCTCGTAAACCATAACATAAAAGAAGAATACAGACATCACTGTAGTGTTACAAGATTCTGAGTGTTATTTGTGCAGCAACAGATGAGACACTAACAGGGTCTAGTGATCTCTAGCATGATGTTATTGCACATTAATTGGGATGATACTGATACTCACTGTCCATTCTGACTAGACAATTTATCACTGGTCCCTCTTGTTGCCAAAATTAGAACCAAAACAAAAAAAGTTTTGATATTCTCATTTCTTACTACAGATTAGCAGTAGCTGTTTCGCTTTCTTGTTGGTGAAAAGTGAATTTTCACATGGATTACTGTTCATATCAACAAAAACTGCCGTAAAAAATGCTCTGTAATATTTGATCAAAGTAACATATATCCTTAATATTTAATAAACATCTCATTATATCATATTAGGATTCAATCAAATATTAATACATTTATACCTGTATATATTAAATATTCAATAATTTGACTGAATTCACCAGGTTTGTAAAAGCTTATATTTTTTTCCTTATTTCTTTGTTTTTGGGAGAGTAGCACTTTGTCACACAAACAGTCTAACAAATCAAAACCGTGCATCCATCTGCCAGCTACAGTCACACAGACAATCTTCATGGCACTCAAACATCAGCTATCAGTAAGTATATGCATGTTGAAATAAAGGAGACAATTCCCCCAGCCCCCCTTAACCCCTTCCATTACCAAATGAAGTCTGTACAAGTATATAATAAGCATGTATTAGAATATTATGAAATAGTTTTTTATCTTTTATCACAGATGTTACAAAAACTATCAAACTGAAAATGTTCCAATGTTCTAACACAAGATTAAAAGTTTTATCATTATCTTTATCACATCTCTCTGTTTGTCAGTACAAATACACATTTTGTTTGTTCCATCTCAAAATTTCACAAAATTATTGAAATATTTCGTAACATATGATCTTCATGTCAGCGAACCTCGTTAAGATGCATGGGTTTCTCAATTATGTGACTGACTGACTTATGTCCCATTTCTTTCAGGCTAGAGTAGACTACATAATGACAGCCAGAAATACACAAGAAATATTAGCAAATTAATTGATGGAAGTAGAGCTTTACCTTCATCATAATGGCCTGTCTTGGTTCTAATTCATCTAAGTTCTATCAGTATAAATAGTTTTTGTATGTATCATTAATTTTAGTGCACTGGGATTAATTTATACATATATATTTCTATCATGAAGGGGAGAGAATGTGAAACGTAAAGTGATAGAATAAATGCAAAGAGCTAAGACAGGTTTGGGAAGATAAGCACACTTATAACAGGGATCAAAAAGTTTTAACAGTGAAGGTTTCCTAACATACACATCCTCATTTCTTAGATAGCTAGCACCTTAAATCAGGAATCCTAAACGTTCCAATAGAGTTTATCAGTCAATAACATATAACTATTGACAATGACCTGAAGTGATATATTAACCTTGTCACAATACAATTTCTGACTTAGTAAAAACTACTTGAGGACTTGAAATTGTTCAAATCCAAAAATCTTTTGTCACAACAACACACCAAACAGAAATTTCTGACTGCTGATCTACCTGCGACAACCAAACAAAACTTAGTTGCAGAAGTTCATCACACAGAAAGCTTCAGCGAAATTTGTCCAGATAATTATAAGATATGAAATTTTCCTCAATATGTTTAGAAAGATTTTCAAAATCTGAACAATGTCCAAGTATAATGATCAGTGAATATAAGTGAAGAGAACATGATATGAGAGTATACACAATGCTTCTCTTAATTGTAGTAACAATTAAGTAAATATGTCTTCTAGAACACAAGATGGATGAAGTAACAACATAACTGAAGATGATCAGACAAGTAAAGTCTAATGAACACATTGTCATCACAAAATCAAACCCACATTGTAAAACTTTTCGTCAAACATGAAATACACTTATTTTTTTTATAATTTCCCTGTTAGACAGGAAGGCCGTTCTCATAATATTTCCTAACAACAATAAATAAACACCAAAACCACATCAACAAAAACTAATTACCTATTGGCATTTTGTACTACCCCCATTTGAGGCAGGTAATGGTTTGTCATTGTCAACCAGAATCATCATTCTAAAATCACACCTGTGAAAGACGCGAGTTTTTATCCTCTATCATAATCAATTAAAGATCCAGTCACAATTACACAGAAATCAATGAAATCAGACTTTTTTTCAGAATCAATTAGGTTTGGTGTTGGTAACAGCATGTGTGATTAAGAATTCACAATACAAATGTCAAAGAGTGTGTACAATACATCAAACATCTATATCCAACTAAACTCATCATTCCGTATTATGTTACAACAACTGTTTATCATTATGGTGCCACATTTTGCCTCATCACTTAGGGTAGACTCTTCGTTGGTTGTAGAGCTTTGGACCACCTGCAGGTACCACATTCTGCTGACCCGTTTTAAACTGAGAAGGGTTAAACAACATTGGTGGTGCCCCTGGGGTTGCATTTGGTGCCTGGTTTTGTTTTTCATCCTACAAGATAAAAACAGTGTGACATACAATGATGAAGAATCAATGATTTTACAGTAAAACATTTAACAAACCCTATACCATACAATCTGGTCTGTTTTTATCAACATATAGTCTCAAAGTTTAAAGATAAATGTCCTAATTGAAAAAAAAATCATATTGGGTAATTCCAATCCTGGTACTCTTACTGTATGTTCCATTTACAAACTTAAAACATTCTACTAGTGCTACCCTAGAGCCAGTGTATAGCAACAATTTAAACCATGTAAGGTATGTACTTTCATGTATAGCTACTATCAGTGTTATTTTTGAAGTGCAAGAGTTGGTGTGATGTACAGACAGTACATGCAGTTTATATTCCATTGTGCTACAGAGTTAGGTCCCAACATGGGCGAAGCAGACATTGTTTCTGTCTCACAGCATCAATCAGAATACAATATCAATTACTTTTGAAATGCAGTGACAACAAGAAGTATTAGAATGAGAAATAATTCAATAATTTAGGCAAGCATATATTAATCTTAAAAGGTATGATCAATATGAACAGTGTTACTCACTATTATTTGTCAACAAAGTAGTGAAAACTGTACCCAAGACTGTTTTTATAACCTGATTATATGAAGGTCACTTGTCAGACCATTTGTTTTTTCTGCAAACTTTATTACCGGCAACAGATGTGGACTGTTTTACATTACTTCCATAACATTACAGACCACTGGTTAGCTGATTATCTGACATTATTGTGCCGACTGTGACAATGCACCTGCCATAAGTATGACAACATATTAAAGTATAACTAATTGGTGCTATTAAAAAAAGTCATGTAAAAAGGTTTTTTTTCGGCTTGTATTAAAATATCTCTGAATTTAGCCAGGTTGAAATAAACTATGTTATGAATCTTGTTTCATATATCATACTCCTCTAAAGACAAGCAAGTAAATATGTAATAAAATGCTCCTACAAACAAGTTATAATCATCAAACAAACATTATAGAGAGACAAGAAAAGTTCTTTATAAAATTAGGAGACTAAGGTGAACAATTTAGAATGTAAAATTCTGAAGCAACAAATGACAAAACTTAAGCAACAAGAAACAATTAATAGCACAATTCGTGTAAAACAATAAAAAGTTAACAAAAGTGTTGTGTCAAAGATTTGCTTTTTTCTACTAAACGAAACTCTGTGGATTTTAATAAGAATTTAACCATCAACAGTCTGTCTATAGTATAAATTATTCATATTATTTCATTGCTTGTATTGTTTAGAATTACAAAGTTTGTCTAATTCTTAATGTAGACTGGGATTGAATCTACTTTATGATATATATGAACATGTTTATGAATACTAAAAACGAAGCATGTTTGATATAAACATTAGTGACAAAGTCAATAAACAAAACAAAGAGATCAAATTTTCCAGTTTGTCTAGAAAAACATTTTAACAACAAGCAGATCCTAAAATGCATCAAAAGATTGCTTGTAACTACAAAATAAGGACTGAATCACAATTATTTGCAATACATTATGCATTATGATGCAATTAGGACAATTTTTATTTCAACTTTGTTGAATCTATATAGATCTTTAACAAATAAAATATCAAAGTTGTTTTCTGTGCTGGATTGAGAAATACCGTTTCCTTAGGAACATAAGCTGATACTTGTGAACAATTTTATAAACAAGAGCATGTTGTGTACTGTTTTACATGTAGTCCTCTGCATGAGAAAAGATTACATAAACCTGAAATATAACAATGAAGAACTATCAAGTTGGGACTTTGAAGACTGCTAAAAAAGTCACAAAATTGCTTCATATGACACACAAATCTGTGTTTAGTAAGTTCTTTGTCAGACAAGAAGGAATATGTGAAAAAAAACATTACTTTCACAATAATTAAAATTGTTCTGGGCATTTAAAAAAAGACATGAGTAATTTTGTTTTGTCACCTACATAACTTCTTTCAGTTTAAAATGGAGCTACTTTGACAAAACATTTTCTGTTAACACCGATTGTATTTTTGTGTCTGGCATGCAGTTAATTGTACAGGCTAAAGCCAACATCCTTAGTTACCTGACGAGTTAGTTGTTGGACCTCGTATGATACAGAGCTCATAGAGCTCGTCCTAGACAACTGTAAATGGCAAATAAGTACATTATGTACTTATCAATTAAATTATTCCAAACTGTCTTCATTCTAAATCATGTCTAAAGCATTTGCCAAAATTTTTAATTTCTAAAGTCAATCTATTAGTTTCCCAAAAAGTGCTGTACTATTTTTCCGAAAGAGATCTGTTAGGGATCTCCTAAAATATCTTTTCACAATCTTCAAAGCACATCTCTACTGGTTCTTCCAAAAAATGTCTGGATTCTAACAAAATTTGTCTTGGACTGCCTAAAAAGGTATGTGAAAGATTTCCCAAAAAGATCTGTCTTCGGTTCCCCTTCAGGACCTCAATGAAGGAAACAGCTGAAAGACAGACTCAGGTCTGATGAGCAGACAGAATAACAGACCTAGGAGCCATAGACACATTGATGACTGAGCAGTTACAAGGGTAAGAGCATTGAAAATGATTGGGGACTGTCTGGACAAGCATTCTTTGCAGGAGACAGTTAAAAAAAAATTTGCTTTCCAACTTTCATAGTTTCTGATGGAGAATGTTAATTACTGTGCATATTTCATAAAACTGAGTACATTGATAGAGTAAGGGAGAAATCAAGACCCTTCATCATTAAGTTTTAGAAGTATACTCAAAAGAATAATACATGTAATTTAATGGTACATTAAAAGTTAAAATACAGCTCACTGATGTAACCTAAATACAGTAAATGTACAATATACATGTATATCGGTTATGTTTGTTTATTATTATACATACAAGAATATGGATAATATTGTTAATATTCTTAATCATAAAATGAGTTATTAGCTTATTACCGTTCAAACTATTTCTCCTGCATTAAAAATAAGAAATATCCATTACAAAACAATATTTAAAGACTTTTAAGATACTTTTTAATTCTTAGACCATCACTCAGTCGTACAAGGAAATTCTGGGGCAATGTTCTCAATTAGTTATCTAATATAGTTGTATTCATTTTCAGTGTCAAAACATAAATGCAAAAATCAAATTTGTCAAATACACTAGTGAAAACATGTACTAACATCTCCATTGTGGTTCAAACCAACTCACTGTAATAGTCTCCCTGCATGAATGCAATTACAAATGAAAAAAAAGTGAAACTGTTTAAAAACTTTAAAAAGTCCATTAAAAACGACATCTTTATAAGATGTTTTATTATTAATGAGATACAAAATAACTCTTGTTTTTATAACTGTAGTACCAGATAAACCAATTTTCTATGGAGTAAACATAATTCATCACTAAGATTTCTTCACACTTAAATCTCTTTGAAATCAATATTTCCCCGTAGTTCAATTTTGCAATATGTTTCATAGTATATAGTGTATAATGTCAATAATATATAATATCTAATTCATGGACACTTTCTTAGCGTATGACTTTTGCAGGACTACCTATTACAAGATATATCCAGGACTGATATACATTTCTAGAAATGTTTACTTCAATATGCTTCTGAGTCAGCCTTTTCTGGAGTCAGTTTCGCTGTTTCAGCCTTTGGAAATCTTGATAGCTCTACCTACTTCTATGGGAAATACATGTTTAGTCCATGACATGTACTAAATTAAAGATTATTAAAGCACTTATACTTCTCAAATATAGCTTAAACTTATTCTGTATAGACATCTTAATTCAATTCTTGTGTATCAAAAACCATGTCACAGGGTTATAACTAAATCTGAACTGGATGAACATCCGAGTACAGACTTTGTAGTAACACTACCAAAACTTCTGAGAAAATTTGTACTCAACTTCAAAATATTAGGGGTTTAAACTAAAAAAAAAATCATTTTTGATATTTGATGTCATCTTTTCTCTTTATTTCCATCATTACAGCATCTATCACAGTAAAATATTGCTACTTGAAATTCCCCCTCTGATAACTATCAATAGCACATACCAGAAAAGCCTAGGGCTATAAAAATTGTTAAATCGTGACTGGAGTGTCTTAAGTTTGAGAAAACTGCAGTTTTGGATATAACTCAAAAGGCAGCTATTCTAATTTGTTGAGTTGAATATTGTCTGAATGGATCAAGAAACAGAGACAAATATTTAGATAAATTCTCATTTAGTCTCTGTTTTCGTTTCTTCCAAGTTAAAATTGGCAACAATTTTGAACTCTACCCTGGAAGTTGAAAACCTAGCTTTTTATGGTAAATATTTTGGTGGGCAAGTTGACCATACTCAAAATCTGTCTGTGTGTCTGTCTGTTTGTCTATTGTAAACTTTGACCTTGCTCACAACTATTGCACCATCAGAGGTTGGGGTTTCATATTTGGCATGTGTGTTCCTTGTGACAAGACCTTTGCGGTGGTACCACAAATTTTGACCATGTGGCCTATTGAATTAAAACTGTCAAATCATTACCACAATGAAGATATATGTGTTTCACAGCATGTGCATGCAATTAGCTTAAGCCTTACACAATACAGTTTTAATGTCCCACATCAGAATTTTGTTGCAACTGAGGGCATGGTGTTTCATTAACATATCTTTTTATATATTATTTTTCGTGCATTTAACTGGTGATTTTTATCAATTTTTAATTTTTTTTTTCAACTAAACATACATTTATCAAAATCATCAAGTGGGACAGAGATGTACCAACAAACCCCTTTACTCTGAGTGTGACACTTAAAACTTTTTCTCTGTAATCACAACACACTCTCAGTAGCTATCATACACAACAAAAAAGATTGCTTGATAGTTGAATCACCATCTGTTATGCAACAGCTTATGATGGTTTGTTTACTCCTTTTAAAGGACTTTCCATGCCCATTGGCTGAAAGGATTATCTAGACACCTAAATTTACACTACCATACTCTATTAAAGTTTATAACTTTGTCTTTATTTTATGTTCTAAGTTTGAAATGTAGGCACATTGCCTCGAAAATTTGACAATTTACTTATCAATTTTGTCATTACCTCAATTATCATTACATAGATATGTATCGTATTAACTAAGAAAAAAATTGACAATGTTTCTGTTTTTCAAAAATTAAATTCAGTTTGTGAATTTAACAAAACTTGATGGATTGTTATGAATATGTGGTTTTGACAATAAAAATGGGGCATTATGACTATCAAAATGCAAGCTGTATATGTATAATTAAGGCATGTTTATAAGTGATGTGTTATGGAAACAAGACATCTACATTAGCTTACAATACATCTCAGAACACATTCCACTGCAGCAAAACCTGTGTTATATGTTTCAATAAATATCTAGTATAAAACCAAGACATTGCCTGTTTAAAGTTAAACTCCAGTCACACATCACAAATATCTATACTTTACTGATCGCTTACCTCCCCTGGTGTCAACGACTGGTTCATATTCTGTTCAGCAGGTGGTGCTAGCGACTGCTGAGGATTGTTTTTCGTATCTGACTGATCACTTCCACCAACTGTAAGTAGTATCATATGATAATTGGATTTCACCAAAACAGAATTATTGTAATGTTGTTTACAAGTGACAATGCAGTGTTAGATGAAAGTCATATATTTTAGGCAGTATGACACTTGTTCCAATTGTGTTTTGTTTGCAATTTACAATGATAGCAAGGACATATATAAAGTAATTAAAATATTTTCAAAAGGTTATTTCAACATTAACCTTTCACATCATTTATAACATTAAAGCAATTCAAAGTGATTCATATTTTTTAATCAGTTATTGAAGAAATATTACAAAATCATGATGGTACTAGAAGCACTTCTTGTACAATTTTTTCCATCAGATATTATGGGTGAACCAATCACCACTGCATCAGTCTTATAAATTATGGTTATGCACTTATACATGTATATGTGTACTGCATAACATATATGGCAGTATAATGTGCATTCATTTATTTAACTGGTTTTACATTCACTATTACAGCCTTTCAGTGGACGAGGTAAAATGAATATTGGAAGACCGACATAACTTCAGCTAGTATCACAATTTGGATAATTCATATCAGTTAGATTACACAAAACAGTAATCTTCAGTTTTTTAAGGTAACTTTTGTGAAGAATCAATCTTATCTTTTGTCAAGCTATATAACAATTTCCAGATATGTTGTGTATGCAGGGAGCATTGACACTTATGGGAGCACTGACACTTACGATGGCAGCATTGACACTTACGATGGGAGCATTGACACTTATGATGGGAGCATTGACACTTATGATATGTTAAGTACAAAAACTGTGAGATATACATTGAAACCAAATGTTGAATTATAATCACTTGAGAGTGAGTCGCCTGCAACAAATAATTAGGGATTAACTTACTAGAAAAGGACTGTAAGACATGAATAGACATGCTCCTATGCATTAAGAAAGTGTGATTTTTGATGACTTTCTGGACATTGTCAAAAGTGATCTTTGACCATTTAACCTTTACCAATGACTACCTGAATATGAAAAGGTGTAGAACTTGATGTTATGATACTATGGGCTAATATGTATTGAATCAGGTGTGAGGATATGACACTGATTTGGAACAGGACTAGATGAAAATGGACATGTGTACTTCTTTAAATGTCTTCCATCAAATGACAGAGGTAAGAAAAGTAGAAAAATGACTTACGTGGATTAAATATGGCAGGCGAGGATGCTGAGGTTGGCATCACATTGAAGAGACTTTTGGGCACTGTTGAGCTACTAGTACTACTGCCACTAGTATTCATCACATCTACATACTGGGTACGTGCTCCTGTTAATAAAGTCACATAATCCATGTATCCACATACTTAGTAAATATACCTGTTAATCAAGCCATATAATTTGAGTATTTATATCCACAAACTGGAGCATGTCTGAGAAAGAAAAAGTTTTTTATTTCAAATCATCCATTCACATTGACATCAAAATTTTTTATGTGAGCTGGATTTGTTTCCCCTATAATATAAAGCATATTTTAACTCCCCTATACAATACCAGAGCCTCTTCATGGATGATTTTAGGAAAGAAATGTCAATTATGTCCTCTAGAAGTACTTTATTCCAGTTATACGGAATCGTTATATCTAAATCACAAAAAAAACAGAAATTTCTGCTGCTGATATCAGGAAGTCAGATATCAGACTCTGTCAGACAAAATCATTTCCAATGAGTATCGTTCATTTGTGATGTGAGTAAATACAAATATATAATGTTACAAGTATGATTGGATCAATATTTCCTGATGAGATATACAAATATCAACAATATTTAAAAAAAAAAAAAGAACTAATTTCATGAATAAATGTGTACAATAAAATGTAAAGAATAAACCCCATAGACAAATTATATTTATATTTTTACTCACAAACACTGTCTACCACCAATCTAAAGCCAGTAATAACATGTCCAGTCACCATCTATATCATACCATACACCTCTACAGTTAAACACTAATCATATCTGCGGTCACTCCCTATAGCAGTTCTCCACCAAAGTAACTTTTTGAGGAGATATTTGATGGGTACTAAAGCCATTTTTTACATATTAATTCCTTGATAACAAATAAAAAATCATAGATAATACTAATATCACCATACTGGGAAATGATTAGAAGTATAATAATATGTAAATCACAATTTAGAGTCAATTACATCAACTGTTTATTATAGTAACAATGCTCTTAGACAGATTGGAACAAGATTAGATGTTAAATTATGTAGATTTATAAACAGTTTGGTGAATTATGAGATGACATCATGACTCTGAAAAGCTGACCTTGTTTTTGACTTAATCCTATCAAATGTGGTGTACAACATAAAGGTGCCATTGTAAAATTGTCAATGGAAAAGAAAAATGTTGATGACAAAGTGTGCTTTTGATTGTCATGGTGAGCTGGCACCAGAGCCTCCAAATTTTTTAGAGTTAACAAGTCATTGGTGAAAAATTCAAATTTTTACCACTAAAAAAACAAGGACTTTCAAATCAAAAGCAACATTCTATCAATATCAACCCGACTTGTCTCAACAAATCTGCTGCTATGAAATGATAATGTTTCAAAGTTTGCTAAATTCCTATTTCTTTCTTCACTATGCACTTGTCAACTCTCACCAAGCTTTCAGCTACTAGGACCTGATGTATAAAGTATTTTTTGATGGTGTGGATGACAAAGCAATGAATTATAAAGATTGGATTCCATGACACACAGGAATGGGTCTATAGACAGACGAGTGGACAGAAGAGAGAGACAAAGGACTCGGGATCAAGTTTCAGATGGCTGCACATGAAGTTGGATGAGATAAATAATTACTTGTTTTTACCAAGTATAAATGTATCAACATTACAAGTGGAATCTGATGACAATTATTTTATTGAGAATGTTGTGTTTATTATACATATAAAAGAATACATTCTTATTTGCACAAAATCAATGAAGGCCAAACATTCTCCAAACTATATTTTCCCACCCAAGACATACATTAACTCAAAATGTATAAAATAAATACTAAGCAGTTTCCTAATATCATTGGAATCACCTGTAATGGTTTACATTCATGACAAATTAAGAGACCTACAAGATATTGTGAGAGGTATAACTATGTAGACCCAGTATCAGAGGTAATTTTAAAGTTAGTGAAGCCTAAAAAATCCAATGTGTAAAAAATGCTACAATAACTTTTTAATATTTTTATATACATGCATGCTTCATCTGATTAACAAACTGATGTCAAGAAAAAACATATATACCAGTAGAAACTGGAAAAAAAAGATAAAATAAAACAATCAGATCATGTATTGATACTCCCAGTAAATAAAACTAACAGCAATATAATGACTTTCTCAATCCTTATATAACATCCAGGACAACAGAATCATTCTTTAATAACAAAATCTACTTGCATGTTTCTTTGCTTTAAGCCGAAACAATGCCTAGATTAAAACGTGTAAAAACAGATTGATAATTTTTAAATTCAAGAGGTTAGTTCTGCTTCAAACTACTTCAGAAATTCTAGATGACTAATTCCTGACTATAGTGTAGAGGTCCTATTTTGTAATGTGTACAAGCTGATATGTTAACAATTAAATATAATGTTATATCATCTACCTATATTTCAAGAATAGAATGGTAACCATGCCAAATGTTTGATTAGCAAACTATTCAGTTTACTGAAAGTGTAATTGTTTTATTAACATATCCTGGTCAGTATGATGTCTACAATGTACTGATGACACTTACCTCTACCTTTAGGACGTGAAAACTTGTTACTTGAAGGTGGTGCCCCTGGAGTTGAGGTTGTGCTGGGAGTAGTCGGCACTACAACAAAAGGATGAATATAATGTGACATGCAAGCATCAAGAAAAGAGGATACTTGACAGTGTTCTACAAAATTCACCATATTTCTTGAAAACTTCTTACATTTAAGTCTAACAGTAGTTGTATCAAATTAAGATATGCAACATTTTAGTTCAACACCATTTGTCAATACAAGTACAATATACAATATTTCAGTGCAACACCATTTGCATAAAACATTTCAGTTTACCAGGGTTTGTCAATACAAGGCATGACACAATTTGACAGGATTTGCCACTATGATTCAACATGAAACTGCTGTGTAGTAATGTGACATTCATGATGGCTTGATCAGATATCAACCTACTGAGACCTTAACCTAAATGAGGAACGTTAATTACTACCTGTAATTTAACTAATACCTGGTATTACTATCAAATGAAAAAAAAGTGCTCCAGGATAATGTACACAAAATCAGAAATACCAACTAGAAAGTCAATGAAAGTACCTGCTGGCGTTTTGAAGATATCAGAGTCCTTGGGTGGTTCCGCTACTGGTTTGTCTTCTTCCTCAGTTTTGTCCAAGTTCACCCACTTTTCTTTATCCTTGTCCCACACAATCTTTTTACAAATAACAAAACAACATATACCTAAACACTTCAACAAGAGGCCCATGGGGCTTGAATCACTAACTGGCAGGATCACTATTTATGTAAATTGCTTCAGACCAAACTTGGACAATATCATTATATGGAAGAACGGCTTTTAAGAACTTCATTTCCCCTATTGTTCCCATCCTTCCTGCCCTAGGGGGCCAGGATGCATGATTTGTACAGTACTGAGCCCCTTTCTCCCATTAATACTTCAGGCCAAATTTGGGTGATATCCATTTTTTTATAGGGGGAGTAAGATTTTAAAGAATTTCCTCCATCACCCCTTTTGGGCTCCACCCTACTTCAGACTACACTTGGACAAAATTTCTAATTTAAACATTTTTTCAATTCAAAAGAATTTGCTCTATTTCCACTATTTCCCTGCCCCTAATATAAGGCCCTTGAGAACTGAGAACCAATCCTTACACATTCTTTGTTTCCCTTTATCCCCAAATACTTCGGGCCAAATTTGGGTGATAAATAATCATTCTTAATGGAGAAGAAGGATTTAAAGGAATTTGCTCTATTTTCCCAGGATGACCCTGCCTCTCTCATTCCTGGGGGCACGAGACCTACAATTTATACAAAATTGATTCCTCTTCACCCAATAACGCTTCAGACTAATCTTGGGCAAAATCCAATCATCCGTACAGGTGGAGTAGGATTTTAAAGAAAGAATTCGGTCTATTTCAACTATTGGGTCCTGCACCTGCCACCCCAGTTGGGGTGTGGGAGGGGGGAGCCCATTTGTTACACAAAATTGATTCCTCTTCACCTAAATATGATTCACACATAAATTACTTGCAAATTTCAACATTGAAGTCCTTTATATAAGACTTTGACAAGATTATACAACCACCCACCCTCCATCTCCTAGCTTGCTTTGTTTTAATCCTCAAATCAAAATTGACTTACACTTGGTTTATCATCATTTGGCAGCTTCATCTCATTCTTTGGCTTGATGAACTTACTGAACCATCCGCCTAATCTACTTCCCTGCTAATGTAACCAAGCACAGTAAACAGAATTGATATATAATATAAAATGCCGTAAAAATAAACTCGGGTAGGAACAAAAATTTAATCTGAAATATTAATTTGAAATGACCATATCATTAATACAATATATGTAATACCATGTGGATGTTTTTAAAAAGTTACATTTCTCTCTCTTATATAAAATCATACAAGACAAACATACTCGAATTTGTATCTAAATATATTTGTTGGGCTGTATTCATCCACAAAATTAAATGTCCACAAAAAGAGATTTTCTGAAAAAACATAAAAATTGATCCCCATGAAAATTTCACAGTACTAGTATTTCACATAAAAATCATAATAGTAAAATATTTTGTTTGATTATGAAGAAATAGACGATCACAATCATTACAGCTTATCTAAGGTATGAAATAGGTTACAAAATATTTCCATCTTCGAAGTAATCTACCATAATAGAAGACAAATTAAAACAAAGTACCTTTTTGGATGGATCTGGTTTGGGAGGAGGAGGCATTTTTGCTTTGTCCTCATTGGCAGTATCTCCAGGGAATGCTGATCTACCTACACTTCCTTGACTAGTTTCTGATGTTGTGCGTTTTCTTAAACGAGGGGCTACAATCTGTGAGGAAAAAGATCAACAAACACTTTTGTATATTTAAGGAGGTACTTGTAAAAACAAGCATTACTGAATCTGACGTACTTTTGAAAATGAGAAAATATGTGACACTGCCTTTTGACCTCATAGCATTAAAGCAGTCCAAAGCAAGTGCTTTCTGTATGGAGATGTTATGAGTTTGGATTTATGAGGCCTAATTAACTAGGGTTAAATCAACAAGTATACTTCACACAGATACATCAACTAGAGGTTAATGTCAAGAGAAAACATCACTTTGAGTTCTCTCTCTGACAGATTCACATTCTGCATTTAGACTTTTTTATTTCTAGCTGGTGATAAATACACATATATCACAACAGTTTTTCTTTTCATTCACATCTCACATCACAAATGTTGTAAAGTTGTATTTGACTTTAAATATTTGGAATTTCCCTTAAATTAAAGACATGAAATTTTGTGAAGTAGTATGACACATATAGCACACCTTTTGATGAGTGGCTGCCCCAAAGTAATCAAAGTTTGTCTGTTGTTCATGATTTCCTTCTTCTTCTGTATCCAAACTGCTGTCTGATGTGATGCTCTGTCGCTTTGGAGTTTCAACAGTTTGGGAGTAGGCGTTTGGGTCGTAGGGTTGTGATGCAGTGTTCTGGGTAAAGGGTTGGTTCACAGAAGCCTGTTCCTGTACACTTCCAGCTGCACAACAGCAAGAAGGGAACAATTAAAAGATAAATAAAGAAATGGAATACTTGTCTTAAGGAAAACGCTTTCAATTTTATGCCCACATTTTTGACAGAAATTATCAGTACCAACAAAATCCAATTAATTCACAAAAAAAATAGCTGATTAACACATCTTGTTTAAAAGTATAGTTTGTCAAAAAGAAGATCTATATTCTAGACCAATATCTCCTCTATGACAGTTTAAGTTAGTTGGTAAGTATTCTGGCCCTTTTTATACATTGTTAATAAACATTGTTCAATAGCCATCTGGTCAGAAAAAATTGTGATCACCAAAGACAATCATCAAGATATAATTTTATTTTTTTTGAACATGAAAATCTTTTATAATGTAACTATAACATTAACTACCCCATTTGTCAACTGAAATATTTATTAATAAAACCTTTACTTTAAAAAATAACTAGAGCAAGAAGTCTGTAATTAAGACACTCAAGTGAAGTTGAAGAAATATGGAAGAGAGACAAAGCCCCGCTAAGGCCATCAGTTAAAACTTACCTACATATGTAGCATCAGACTGACTCATGTTGTTATCTGATACACCTCCATAGCCTTGGTATTGATTACTGAGATCAGGTGGCTGTGCTTGACTTCCTGAATCTCCTTGTGGAGCTTCTGTATTGTTTGAAACATAGCCTGAAAGGGAAGTGATTCAGCCTCTAAATCAGTCACCAATTACTTAAGGAAAAAATTATTAATGTTTACTAGTTAGATGTCAGCAACCAGTTGAAAAGCTTGTTATACAAGAATTATAAAATCCTGTTTAACTTGGATTGTTGATATGAGATGTGCAGCCAAAAGTTCACACTGAAATTCAAACCTTATTCAATGGTAATAAAGATGTCTGCATCTAACCTTAGTATAGTCAAATACAGTCCACTATCACATACCAAGGATAGGTAGTATTATTGCCTTTTCAAGAGGTGTAATTATGACAACTTAGAATAGATTAGGTACTGGTTGATAGAGGCTGATGACCAAAGTTAACAGCTACCTTGATGAAACCAATACAATTACGAAAAATGTATGTTAAATATTTGCAATCAGTGCAGAGAACAAGGGGTATGAAATGAAAGTTTCTAGAAAAATTAGCAAACATGAACAAAAAAGAGATCATACCTGCATCTTTTCAAAGGCGTAATGAATAATCATAAATAGTAGTGATTGGAAGCTGATAAATTCTTCAAATTTTGTGAGTTAAAGGGCCTTAACTCTAAAGAAAAAAATATGTTGACTGAAACCAAGTACAAAACTACTTATTATACCAAGTTTTGATCAATAGATTCATTTCTCTAAGAGGGAATAAGTGCAAACCAAATTATGACATAATAACAGCCGAAAACAACATTATATGACATTAAATGTTTATAGGTCATTAAAGCAGGTACCCTGTTGATAGTAACTGTTGTAGGCATTGTGTTGTTCCTGGTGGTATTGTTGCTGAGCTGTATATTGATTTTCTGTGTACTCCTGCTGAGCCTGCTGTTCCCCTTCTGGCTGTTCCTGTATGGGTTCCCCAGACTGAGGATAGCTGTAGTTGTAATGTTGTTGTCCAGTAAATGACTGCCCTACTGTTTGACCATCCACCTCACTTTGTGACTGGTCTGATCTCTCACCATACCCCTGTTGTTGTGTATACCCGGTCTGATAGTTAAAGTCCATATGACCTTGACCCATCAAGTCTGACCCTGTGTGAGTCAAACCAGCAACCTCTGCACTTTCACTACTTGCCCTGGTACTGCCATAGCCCATAGGTGTAACACTCCCTGACAAGGGCCTGATTGAGCCATCCTACAATACACCAATTACATCAATGTAAACTTTGTAAATGAAGCAGAGTCTAAGATTTAACCACATTTCTTCACTTTAACACTGATGTTTTCAATGGTTTTTTTTAAAATCAAAATAGAAGGTGTTGCACAAAGTCAATATCCATGTCATTCAAAAAATTACTAAAAAGCTATAGATCCACAAAATCAAATACAAAACGTCATAACATGACATGAATGCCCTTGCACCTATATGCAAACCAGAATCTCATCAGGTGGGATGCTATGAAAAAATGTCGGCTAATTTGTTTGAGAGATTCTAAATGTATACAACTGATTCAGAATGAGATAGAACAGATAAACAATGGTAACACTGTACACTCTGTATAAAATGGCAGGAGCCTGTCAAAAATCCTTTCTTACCAGAAATCCTTGTGAGACCTTTTGTAAGTTTACAAGCCATGCTTGGTCCTGGTCATCAGCCGTATGCATCCTCTGGGGGTCAAAGTGCTTCAACCTGTCTGCCATCTGTAAATAAACACCAAAACAATATTTCAGAATATTTTCTTCAGTTTGTAATATCAATAGAACATAAGTTCTTATAACAAAACCAGTTAAAAATTTCAGTGTAATGTTTTGGTGACTACATGATATGGTCACCCCCATCTGATTTTGTATGAATTCTATGTCCTTTGTTATACAACAACATAAAGAATACAATATTTATCAATTATCATGATTTTGCAGGGATGCAATATTTCACCTGAAGTAGAAACTTATACTTACATCATAAACCAATTTGACTAGAGTTGGCTGGAAGAACATTGGAGCTCGCTGAATATATCTTGCGATTACTTCCAAATACTGAAGGGCCTTGCAAAAAGAAGAAATTTCACATCTACACTGTTACTTCTTTGTATATTATATTAGAAGGTTTGTTCAAATTCATGTACTAAATCCACAAATTTACATGTCCATGGAAAAGCTAATGGATAAAAATTGACATTGATTAAATTATAGTACTAGCTGATTCTGGGAGCAAAATTTAACTATGAAATCAAGTGCCAACAAGAAAACCACTAAATTTGAGCCCAACAAAAAGATAAAATTTTACGGTATCCTCCTGTTATATACGGTGAATCCATTCCTTTCATTACAAGATTAAAAGGATGATTTTTTACTAACAGAATTAAAATTTCTTTTTACTGTAACATTGAAATACATTCCCAAAACCAGAAATGTTAAAATCATGATTTATGACACTAACACTGACAATAGATATCAGTTCTTATGTACTGTTTGACATAACTCCATTTTGTATACTAACCACTGTAAACTTGTGCTTAGATCAGGACAGGCAACTGTCTTTCATAAATTAGAGAATGTGACTCCGGTTAGTTGATAGATTATGATAAATTTTATTCCTTATATGGTCAATCATTGACCAATAATCTGGAATCCAATATCTAAATGAAATGTTTTATCAATCATCACTCTTTAACTAATTCCCACCACTAACAAGCACACAGTAACATGCCTATTCTTACTACCTATATCTCATTTCCTCTATACCAATATTACATTTTTTGACGACCAATATTCTACTTCCTCTATACCAATATTAAATGTTTTCACAGCCTATATCTCTCTTCCTCTATACCTATATTACATTTTTTCATGACCAATATCCCACTTCCTCTATACCAATATTACATTTTTTCACGACAAATATCCCACATCCTCTATACCTATATTACATTTTTTCACAACCTATATCTCACTTCCTCTATACCAAAATTAAATAGACAATAAAGTAACATAATAATGATTTACCTCTTGAGGGAATCCATTATCAGCTAATCTACTGGCATATAAAAACTTGAAGTACTGCAACAGAAAAAAAGCATGCCTGTTATAGTTCTTTTTATATACAGACATCTATAACACTTTAAATGCATTAAAAATGTTCAGAAGTAATCTTTACATTCCATCACCATTCCATAAAACATCCTCAAGTTATCAAGACTCTAAAGTAGGAAAACAAAGTTTTTCACAAAGGAAGTGAAAACCATTCAACAGTTACATTCATGCAAATTTTACAATGTTTTTCATTGAATGAAAAAAAAATACAAGAGACCCCTTGGCCTTTGCAGTCAGCTGACTTTAAAGAATTATGTCTGATACAATGTATAACAACAGTAGTAGCAATAGGAAAATTAATTATTGAATGATTAAAACAGTTCAGTATGCTTTAGAAGTATAGGCAAAATAAACTCTTCATTTCAGCTTCTCAACATTCCAACAACATTTCCACTGTGCAATGGGAAGAAGTTTAAAATGTAATTTTTCAAGATAGCAGATATTAGATTTTTGACTGATCCTTAGAATAACAACACTTGGTCAGGACTACCTCAGGATCATTTCAGGCAATTTTTAGCAGAATCCCACTCATTGATCTTAGGGATTTGAAACAAGTGTTCAGGGAACCATGATTACACGATCATTTTACAAAATAAGACCAGACGACCTGAAAATATATCTGGAATCATTTCATAATATCTATCATTATTTTTTTTCTCAAGATTGAAAAAGGTGAAAAATTTACCTGGAAATTTGATAGAAAAAACGAGGGATTTCCTAATGACCTGGCATACTCATAGATCTCTGTGCACTGGATAGCTTCATTCGTAAGGAACTCCTCCAACGGTAGACTGCCATAAAGAACATCATTTATCAAACATGCTGTTGTACCTTTACAACAACACACGAGACATAAACAACAAAATATTTACTACACAAACTATAGATAGCCTGTTCATTAGCAATATCCTAATTAAATGTCGTTGAGGAATAAAAACAATATTTTGCTGTTAACTTCTAAAAAAGTATTGACAGTCACATTTCAATAATACATATTTTTTTTTCAAAGAAATCATAATTTAAAAATTGATACTTCTTAAATAATACTTTATTGACAATTTCTGCTTGACTGGTATTTCACAAAGACTTGTTAGTCAGTACTTTTTTTGCTTTGTTGAACATCACATACCTATGATTGTTTCCTATTAGCACCAGTTTGGCAGTCTTTTTGTAATAAGAACCAAATGAAGCCTGGCCCATCATATAGCAAAAGTGACTTGCAAACAGGAAGCCCTTGGATGCTGAAATCAAATAAAGCAGATATATTAGGCTGTCCATTCAATAAATAAAATTGTTTGTACCAGTCCAAGCTACAAACATCGTTTACAATTTCAAAAAAAAAATATATATGCTTTATTATCTACTCTGTAACCATGAAGACAAATAATAGATACAAAACCTACACATAGAGGAATTTGAGTTAGTGACCATTTGTGACATAATCTGTTTCTGCAGTGTTTAGACTTCTTTCTTATAGCTAAATTTATTCAAGATGAAAACTTATAGCAGTATATGAACTAAATAGATGGAATGGCCTGAGGAAATAGTTATTTTTATTGTTCAATACTTATATGAAATACCTAATGTGTCACCCATGGACATAATGCTCTTCTTATCTAGGTCAGGTTTGTTTCCCTGGTTGGATAGAAGCATAGCCAGATGTGGCCTCCAGTCTCCCCAACGGTCATTAGCTATACTCTGTCCAAAGTAAAGGTCATACTTAAAGGTACTATCTCCAACACAATTCAATGTTTAAATATCATTTGGGTCTAATTCATCTTAAACATCATCTTTTCCATTACAGGAACCCAGTGGAACTTAACTAATCTGATCACCACAATGAAGAGAGTATTGGTGTAGAGACCTCAATTTCAACTATTTTACAAAATAAATTTAATTGTAAAGCAATGTTTTTGTATCTATTTCTAGAGTTTTCACTGCAGACTTTTGAGAAGCATTTTCTTTTTTTTTTTTTTGACTTCTCATTTCAGACTTTTGAAACATGTTTTTTTTTTTTTTTTTTTTTAATATTTTTACTTTTGAGAAGTGTTTTCATTTCAGACTTTTGAAAAAGCTTTTTCATTTGAGGCTATATTTTGTCAGTTTCAGCATGCCTACCGTTACAGCTGCAGGCTGTCTGCCAGACATAAGCTGGTACAGAGTCTGTAGGGGATCATTCATTTTCATTGCTGTGTTGGCAAACCTTATCATTACATTAGCATGTGTCCGACTGTCCATTTTACTGGCTAGAAACAATGCATGTCCCCACAGGTTTCTCTTCATGGCACATTCTAATGCATCCTGAAAACAAATAAAGATCTCACATAAAGTCTGTATCATTTTAGCCACCTAAAAGGATGACATGACATCAGTCCTGTAAACATACCCCTGTTTCTGTTTACAGAGTTTATGTTTTACCTGCTCCCATTTAAATAGCATTAACCGTTACCTAACGTATATTAATCATTTATGTTGTATCACCTTTGACAAACACAGAAAATCTGCCATTATGAAATTATGTTGAGATGTGAAAAAAAAGATAATCTCCCTTGGCAATATGTCATGATACAATATCAGTATTGCATGGTTTCTTAATCAAGACAATATACCTTTTTACGTCCATAAAGCAACAGATGTCTGAAGCGGTCAGTGATCTCCTCTTGGGACCGACCCCTGTTGATGACAGAGCGGTCAGTCATGGAGACGGTTGAAGCGTTGACCTCAGAGGTGTCATCCAATTCCTGGTCTAAGTTGTCCATGCTCTGGGAGATCTTGAGACCGATCATGCTGTACTCTGCTGTAGTAGGCTCATGACCTTCCAACAACAGCTCTGCAATATCTGTTCCCATCACCGTCTGTCAACAAACAAATTTACTCTTGTGTCATCACTGTTTCTGTTGCAATAAAAGGTTTGTGACACTGTTTACCATGCAAATGAATCAACCCTTTATTAATCTTAATTAAAAAGAGAGAAAACAAACAAAACTCTTGCCACAAAATTATTGCACTATACATAAAATCAATTTAATAAACTAATTTTTCCTTACCCCATTTTGTTTGATAAGCAATTCTAGAAGTTTCCAGATGAGTTCAGCTGATTCACGGTCGATCATGTTGATGTTCTCTGTACAGGCCCTTGCCTTTCGTTGGCAGAATGACAGAACATCATTCTTATGGGTGTCCCCCCTGTTGGTAACAATATGGATAGCTGATGCAACACTGATTATGACAATATGTACATGATATACATAGACTTGAGGAAAGCATAGTGTGGCCTACTGACTATATGCATTTATCAATTAAAAAAAAAAGCACATGTAATCCTCCATGATTACAGAAGAAAAGAAATCAAACAACATATGGAATCTAACAAAATTATTTATCTAATCAGAGTTTTTCTAGAGTTTTAGAATCAACAGATTTTTGTTCTATATGCAAGCATGATTATATGAACTATTTTTGATAGGTTTCATAATTACCATGAAACAGAAAAAAATCCCTCTTAATATCTTTATTATTACATCATCTGGTTTGCAAATTCTGCAAGCAAATATATGTGTCTTTCTTGAATAAACAAATTGCCATCTAATCTCTCTTTCTGTTGTCTACATTGTAACATCATAACACAAATTAAGGATATTCTGGAACATGGACTTAAACACAGTATGCACCTTAACACAGGACATGGAAAGGAGTCCTTGAATGATAACAGGATCTGGAAAGGCCTGCACACCTGAACACAAGATCTCAGGGGGAGTATTTACCTAATCACAAAACCTGGAAAGGAGTACTCACTTGATCACAGAATCTGGGAATGCCTACGTACACACCTAAACCAAGATCTAAAGGGGATTACTTGACCTAATCACAAAACCCGAGTTCTCAACTGATCACACGATCTCGAACAGAGTATTCACATGATCACGGGTCTGGAAGGAGCACTCAACTGTACATTTGCCCTGGGAAGGTGGAAATGCCTCATCACTGAACATTAAGAGTACTCACCTTATCACAGGACCTGGAAAGGATTTGAGCTCCTCCGTCTCCATGTTTTCTTGTAATAATTCATCCACCTCATGTATCTCTACAGTTCCAGGCTGGCCATACTTTGGGTTACTTGGCAGCACCTTGATTAGCAAACCACCTGGGCCAAAACTAGCTCTCATAACTGGAATTGTGTACTTCTTGGGAGTTATCCTGCCTGGTTTCATCTCTGCTTGATAAAAAAAGTCATGCACATATTAGTCTTCAAATTATTATTCACAGTTTGTGCATTCAAAAGTTAGTGTGTGTTGGAAGATAAACTGTTCACCTGGAAGCCTTGAATTCATAATTCTATATATCTCAATATATTTGGGTATATTTTGTAAATCATGACTTTTCCTTCTCTGGATACCTTTTTCTCCCTTACTGATACCTGAATATACACATTATCTCAACACTTTTATAAGCTATGAATTATCTTTACTACTTGTCCATTTTCTATACTTATTATCTCCAGACTTTACTAATCATGCATGCATACACATATCAAAGAGGTACCATTCTCCTTTCAGGCCTGATACAATGTATGTTAAATGTGTTTGTACTACTACACAAATCAAGACTTGCTTAGCCATGCCATCAACAATGGTCTTACCTTGTGTAACCCCTTGATCCTGGTATTGGTAGCCACTATGTCTATATCCATAGTAAGGGTCATAATGGCCCCTGTGGTAGTCATCATATCCAGCTCGACTCGATGTCCTTGCTCCATATCCATAGGCATCTCTACATAGATATAAAGTAATCAGTCAGTCTTAACCTCAAGCTCATAGATCCAGTTTCCTATCTGACTTCTTACTGAAGGACTAGTCATACTGGTGACACTAATGTATAGCCAAATATAATTTTAAATATTTGTAAATGATGCCATATAAAACAGCACTACAAGTGCATATATCCTTTGTAGTTTAACTAATGACATGGCGCTGAATGTAGTCTCATCTTTAGTCAAAGTCATTGTGATAAATAGCAATTCCGGTAAATTGTGTTTGAAAGTATGGCAGAATTCAGTCATTTACTGCATCCATGGTAATTTAAAGTTTCGTTAGATATTTTTAGCCGAAATGGGAAAGGTTTTATACTAGCCAAAGAATCTTTAAAAGTTTGACAAAGCAAGATTTAAATCTTCTATATTATGTAATAATTAGCATTTCCAAAACAAATTATTAATCAATGAATTATCTTGGCAATGAATGTCTACCAAATGATTTACTATAATGCACTATCTGCTCGATAAAATCGTTTATCAATCATTTCTTTTATAAATTGGTCTCTTAAGGAAAAAAATGCTGGAATGAAGAATTTGTTTGTAGATTAAATTTATATAAGTATCAATTAATTGCACAAAACCGTGTTGCTTCCCCATGCAGTTCCCATGCACATATTTACAGCGTTAACTGTTAACATAAAATTTCACCAGTAGTGATATACACTGTATAATGTTACAGGTTTATCTTTATATCAGGCGTCTTTTACTTCAGGTATCATTACAGAAATAGGATATGAAACAGAGTGGATTAATAATGAATTCACCTGGAAACCTGATATATCAATACCTGTAACTTGTGCAGTAAAATGACTTCGATATGTTGATGAAGCATGTTAAAGTATTAATAAGTGCAATTCTGTATTTTTGGCATACAATTACTTGAGTTTGTAAATTTTGTCAACAAACTTCAAATATCATTGCAGTAACAGCTCCATCCCAGCACACAAAGCAGCCCTAAGATATACTTGTATCTACAATTGGTGTCTGATTTGATAAGTTTAAATTAATTCATGACTAAAAGCTTTTATTTCCATGTCATATTTTTCAATCATGTTAACGACACATCATTATATTCAGCATCTTCAAAAATGTATAGAATATATGGAGCCACTGAGATTGGCCAATTACAAGCTGATCAAAATCAAGTATTTCAGTATTGTGATTGTTGTTGGCATAAAAAAAAGCACAGTTAGATATCAAATATTCACCAATTCTATTTTCATGTACAGTATAAATTTGTAAATCATAATTCCATGTTAAGTCATTGCAGAGGTATAATTCACAGCACCCTGGAATACAATAAAGATGGCAGCATACATATGGAAATTAACAATTATTTTGGATTTCACTGCAATAGATTTTTAATTGCTGAAGAAGACAACGGTTTGGTCGGAAGGTTGTACACTTACGGCTGGTCTTCTGGTATGGAGGCTGGGGTGTGAGCTCCCCGTGACTGACTGCGTTGACTGTACCTATCGTCCTCATACCCCTGGCCATAGTATTCAGATGGATAGCTGGAACAGGCCATGATGCATCATAATAAACGCATGCTGAATAGCAGACAGGTGTGATGATGCAGCACACCGCCCTTCCTAGCTACTGCATTCTCACACTCACATACATACCAACTGTAACAACTGGCTATATCGTATTTCGTCAAGTTTAGTATTATGAAGCTATGTAATTGGACTTTACAGGGTACATTTATGGTCATACTTATGTAGGAAATCAAAATACATACTGGTCCGAACTGATTAAAGAAAAATATAAGGACTAGCAGAAAATACCTGAAGCAAGCATTAGGCTAAATACTTATTTTTACGTGTTTATTTCTTATTGAAAAGTGGGGGCTGGGGGGGTGAGGGGCCGGAGATTTGAGGGAGGAGCGGGGGGTTGGGGGGGGGGGATTGGTTGGTTTAAGACAATGACAATCCAATTATATCTTACTGTGGCCTTATAACCAGGACTTTAATAAGAAATTTACTATTGAATAATTAGATCAATTTGTGTTAATGCAAGAAATAATTTCAAAGAGCAGTTTCTGTAAAGCAAAATAGTAAATACATATTGATTTCATGATACATCTGTACAAGGTAATTTTCAATATAAATTTGAAAAATTGGAAAATATGAAATGATTTTAACAGATTAGTCAAAAACAAAGCAACTACATATGAATACATAACTCAAACACTTTCCAAAGGAATATCCTGGTATCATTGAACAGGTGTAAAACTTTTGTTACAAAAACATTTTTTGGGATATTGATGAAAATGGTGCTTAACCATGCAAAACGTCATTATCTATTTTAAACTGAAATGTAAATTCAAATTTCATTGCAAAAAAATCAAACAGAAATTTTACAACCAATTAATTTTAGATATAATGCATTAAGAAAAATTAAAGTTTTATACAAATAAAAAATCTCCTCCATGGAACAATGTTTTTGGTGCTAGCATCTTGATCTTAATCTTTATATTCACGAGGCCTTCCTTAGTGAATCACATGTGAACAAAAGAGTGAAATTTATTTTCAATTTAATAAGGAGTGTGCTATACTAATTCTAAAGGCAAAAACACATGTACATGTAACAATTCAAATTAATTAACAAGACAGAGCAATGTGCAATTAATTATAGACAGCTTTTCTAATCTAAAAAGCAGTGAGCAGTGATGACAAGCTTTAACAAAACAGAATGATGGATGTTCAGATATTATTTAAGAAAGTTCTGTTTTCATATGCAGACAGAGGGCAAAAGCAGAGACAGGGTTAGACAAAATAATGTAAAAAAGATTATTAATCAAATTGTGAAACAACGAAAAAAATAAATTGATTTTTTCTTCACTATGTACATATGCAGAACTGCAAAACAGGTAAGAAAGTTAAGAAACATTTGAAACTAACATAAAGGTAGAGAGGGGTGGGGTATGGCAAACATGGAAAGCAGTTTTTCCCAGCTCTGGAAAGTCAGAAGATTTACGATGTCTAATGTAGTATCTATGGTGGGATAACTCTTTCCCATGGTGGTAAACAAATTTGCATTCAATGATTTTGACCTCAGGTTTGGGAACTACTCTTTCAACAAATGTATAACAGATCCATTTTTATCTACATTAGGTATATCACTTATGTAATGATTTTGGTCTATTTTTAATTGTGATGTTAGTGAAAGAAGGAGTCAATCATTTGACATTAGTTCAGAATAAAGGTGTCATAATACTACCATATATGTAGGACAAATATTCAGAAAGCAAGCATTACGTCTTATTAAATTCTTCACCCAAGGGTAAAGATTCCCAATAGGTATCTCCCACTGAACTTATTACACGATCTATTGAACTGTGTCTGGACTTTAGCATGGCATGACTTAACAGATATCAAGCTGATATTGTTAGTATGTTGTTTGTCTTGCATAACTGTTTCTCTTTCCACAATCTTAAAATAATTGTAAAAAGATACAGCTATGTTTAATCTTTATTAAAATTATTTCATTCCACTATGAAGAATTGCTAAAACAAAATGAGAAACAATCAATCATAATGTGCTGTATTAATGTAAAAATGAAGATGACTTAACACAATTTCTAAGTCTAAATGTTATAGTATCGAAAAACTACATTGGTGTCTCCCAGAGAATGTTTTTGCTTTTAGAGTCTCAATAACACCCTCATTAAAATTTTATTGTGTTATTGGGTTATCTGACTCTATTTGGTTTGGAATATGTAGTTTAGATATAGTCAGTGAAGAACAACTACATATAACTGCATCAATGTATTGTAAATTTTGGCATTAACATCTTCTCTTGAAAACACCAAATACCAAATGTTTTGAGGAGTCATCTAGTTGATGATTCTAATATTTGGTAATAAGATTATAAAGACATACTGCAAAACAGAAATGATGCATGAAAACAACAAAGGAAAAATGAAAGCTGTGGGTAAAAAATTCCAAAGTCAGCAAAAAAAAAGGAAAAGGATCATCACACAGTAAACAGTTATCTCCCTTACCCGTAGTATGGATGGTAGTGTCGGTCCATCATTCTATCATAGCTGAAAGTCATCAGTGAAATACAATACATATACTGAACATCTCACATTGTATTGTTTTAAAAGCAATGATTCATACATTTTCTAGCTTGTCAAAAGAAGCATGTGCAATAAGAATGCTATATGTGTCACTTCTTAAGGAAATTATTGTACATATCAATACAAGCTTGATATATTATCACACTTTTTCTCCCTTGAAATATTATCAGAATGATTTTTTTCCCTTGAAATATTATCACAATGATGTTTTCCCTTGAAATATTATCACACTAATTTTTTCCCTTAAAATATTATCACAATGATGTTTTCCCTGGAAATATTATCACACTTTTTCTCCCTTGAAATATTATCACAATGATGTTTTCCCTTGAAATATTATCACACTGTTTTTTTCTCCCTTTTGCAGAATCTTAAACACTTCAATTGATGAAGATGTATTGGATATTTTGAAAAACTGAGAAAACAATTTGTGAAATATTTTGACTGTCAAGAATATTACTGAGAAAATGTTTGAACAATGTAGATAAATAAAATGATATATCTATTAATAAGGGGCTGACTGCCAAGTTTTCACTCATAGAATCATAGCATGAAGGCATGATTTGCCAACAACAATTCGTATTTGTGCTGCTTGACAAATCTGTTACAAGTTAATTGGTGACAAGGCAGAGAATGTTAAAATAATAATTTTGCAATCTGATTAAGATAATTATCTAAGTATATGTACATATTCAATTATTTTAATTAAGGCATGCAAACCTACACCCAAAATACAGGTGAAAAAAGTATACACAAATATTAAATTTTTTTCAAGTATTGGTGAAATGTTCTTATCTAGTCACTGATGTACAAATACAATCAAACAGCAATACAGCAGTTCCCTCAATAAAAGGGATGTGATATAAAAGCATTTCCAGTGAATCAAACTGCATCAGACTTCACAAGCTGAATCACACAAGAAAATATTCTAGATCACAAACCCATCACTATACATACTTATCAGATATTTATTAAGTATAACAATTTCAAAATATCATTCCTATTTTTGAAGGGATGCTCTATAATACAATAATTTGTCCAAGTAAATTGTATTTCATATAGTATATTATATACAGTTTCAGTCAATTAAATGAGATTCCTTTTTGTTTGAAACTTTTGGTTTTAGCTAGAAGAAATGATTGCATGATGGAAAACTTCCAAGTAACTACACTGTGACTGATGCACATTAAATTACCAACTCAAACATCATATCCATTGTGTAAGAAGAATGATTCTGGAGGAATACTGCTGTTTCATATATTACAGTTCCCTTTTTCTTTAGAGAACACTATAAAATCATTTTGACCCAAAAACATGCTCCCTCTGCTGTGAAAAGCACCATGCATTTCCAGAAATGTTTAAAAATTTCCCACTTACTGTTTTTGACAATTGAAATCTGTCTCAATCAGTAAACCAGGAGAATAAAATTAAAAAAAAAAAAAAAAAAAAATCTTACTTTTCATTGTACTGTCCTGCATCATGCCCTTGGCCCTGACCTTGGCGATAATACTCATCATAGTAGGCTGAATTATACCGGCTGTCATGATAGTAGCTCTGATTATAGTACCGACTGTCATAGTAGCCCTGATGACCATAGTAATCATAGTCATATCCTGTAATAAAGTACACTCAGATTTATCACGCATACATGTGTGTATATACATGCATTGTAATCAAATGGATGTGAAATATTAACTTCTGTTTTTTTCTTGTGATCAAAATGTATCTAAGAATATTTCCATGAATTGGGAAACTGTGAATGTAAAATGTCGATTTTTTCTTCTTCTTTCTTTTTTTTCCTTTTGAAATTTAATAATAAATGTCAGTGGTCAGTGACTAATATGTACAGTGCAGACAAGTGAATAACAATTAACATTTTGCTACTCACTAGTTACTTAGAAGAGTGTCGTCCCTGACCTTTTATTTTTTCTAAATTTGGTTCAGTTTTCAACATTTACTTACCTAAAAAGCTTCAAGTCAAATCTGAACAAATGAAGTTAATGGCATGACTAATGAAGTGAAGTTATCTAAAGATTAATATTGATGCAGATCTACATTTATATACAATGTCATTGGTATATATATGTACCTCCACGTGAAGCAGAGCTGTATCGTCCATCTTTGTACGACGGGTCTCGACTGTATTCCTGGCGAGAACGTGGGCGGTCATTATCTGCCCCACCACGACTTTGTCTAGATGAGGGTCGGTCTTCATCTAATGTCAAATTAAAACAAATCACCAGTTTTATTAATCAGATTAAAACTTAAACTACAAAAGGATGCATCATATTCTTATTCAATGAGTAATTTATGCTACTAAAATCAAACATACAATCATACCTGCTACTGAAATTAAAATGATGCATCATATCATTATTCATCAAGTACTTTATGCAAATAAAATCACACATACAATCTTACTTGCTGCTACTATATATGTGATAGTTATAAACTTCTGATGAAAAATAATACTAATCACACAAACCAATCAACCCTCAACAGGTAGGAAAAACTCTCCTGATTACACTTGTGTGATAGTATTTAATTTCTCCGCACTCTGATTTTGTCAAAATCTGCATTTTGGAAAGCAATATTCAGAATGGCAACAAAAGGATCCATGATAGTTTTGTGCAAAGGAAAATTCACAACCAAAGAGTCTCCAAAATTACTTACAGTGGGAGTTTCTTGACCTGGGCCTGTCATATCGCTCATCACCATAGTACTGATCTTTGTAGGGATCCCTAAGAGGTTGTGCTCCTTTATAACCATACCTTGTCTTTCTGTCATAATAGTTTTCATAACCATCATCCCTGCGATCTCTAGAATCATTAAGATCTCTAGATTCCTGTTGATCTCTATAATCCCTCACATCATGACCGCGACTATCATGGTATTGGTCTTTTACACTGTAGTGTTCTCTATGATTGTCATTATGCTGTCTGCTCTTTAACTCCCTTTTTTCTTCCTCTTCTTGTCTACGCACAATCTCTAACTCACGGTCTATAGAGGAGTTTCGTTCATGTCTGTCCCGTACATTTTTCACCTCCTCCCTTTTCCGCTCTCCCTGATTTCTAGAAGGCGCATCAGCTGCCACTACAGGTTCACCATTGTGCACACTTTCAGGTTCTGGCGTGTTCTCCTTTGATATATGTTCTGTTAACGATGTTATCAAGTTCTCCACAGGAGAAAGAACCTGTTCTATCTCCTTATTATCCTTTCCTTTTAGTGGTTGAGAGACTGGGGCAGGTGACATCAATGAAGGCATTGGACCAGCAGGGGCCAGCAAAATGTTTGTTGTGGGGAGCTGCAGGTCACTGTCTGCCCACAGTGTTGTTGCTGGTGACATGTTGTGTTTTACCCTTCTTTCCTGATTATGCTGGAGATGCTTTTCCATCCTCCTTGGGGACATTACTGCACGTGCTCGAGAGCTTCCACTTGGACCAGGAGGAGGTCTAGATCTCCTGTCACGATTTGCCCGTGTCTTCCAATGAGGATCCTGACTGTGAATAGAGTCACGATCAGACTGACCTTGTGAATCACTTCCTGAAGATCTCCTACTGCTGTCTGCACCTAATGACCTATCTGAACCCATTGACTTACTGTGCTCTAGACTTTTTGCTAGGCTGTCTCGACTGTCTTGGCGAGATACCTCTTCCATACGAGCATTTTCCTCTATAGTTTCACTTGATCCTGATACATTCCTGCGCCTGGCTGGAGGTTGGAAAGGACTTTCCTTTCGTGGCATTATTGGACTCTGTGGTTTCATTTTCTGACCAAAACGATTGTTTAGTGTCCTTGACTGGTCTTCAGCATTTAAAATTGGACTTGGTGGCTCCATAGAGTTTTCATTGCTGCTCAACCCACTCTCAGTAACAGAGCTACCTTCCAACAAGGACACACTTCCAGGAATTTCATGCTGAACTGAGTTTGTTTCCAGTTTCAGTTCAGAAGATGGCAGTTTTTGACCTGCTTTCCTAAATGGATTATCTCCCCCTCTTGCTGATGTTGGAGTAGCCATAGGAGGAGGTGGACCTGTGTCTGATGACGACTTTACAAATTCTGTAGACTCACTTGTCTCTGGTGTAACATTAGGGGAGGATGTGTACTTTGGCATCATGGCTTCAGGTTGGAATGGTTTGGGTGGTTGACTTGCAACTGAGGACTGTTGGTTCAGGAAAGAGGTAATGACTTTATCTTCCCCTTGGCCCTGTGTAACTGAGCAGGGTGATCCAGTGCCACGCCCACTGCCTGGGGAGTTCCTGCTGGAGCCGATAAAAAACTGGACATTGTTGTCCGTAGAACTCTGTCTACTGTGATTCCCAGGTACTATGAGATTTTGCGGTGGCACCACCTCCCAGTCCCCTAAACTTTGCTGGTCATCAGCAGTGGTCATTATACCACTGTTAGCTTGCCCAAGGCCAAGTTGAGGGTCATTACTTGTAAGTGGCTGACCAATATCAATCTCCTGTGTTTTCATACTATCTACTGACCCAACACCATAGCTTACTCTACAAGAACTTTCACCATCTTCTATGGTCATATGATTGACTTGTGATATCACAGCATTCATATCAGTCTTATCATTTTCCTGTTTGAACGGTTCACCTACTACACCCATGCGTAATGGTGCACTGTCATTGAAATTGGAATGTGTAACATTTGGAGGATTTACAATCCCACTACTTACAACAGGCTCGTGTACTAAATGACTTTGTCCCATAAAACCTACATCTGTTGAATTTACATTTTGGTAGAAATCCGAGCCAGTTCCTTGTTCCCTATTGACACTGGACTGATTTAAACTTCCACTGTAATTAGAAGTTGCTGATGAATTCAGACCATCATTTTCTGCATTCTGTTGAATATTAGTATGTTCTTGATTATGTTCCTGGTTAGTAAACTGATCACTAACTTGTTCTAAATTATATTGTCCAGGCACCTGCTCCTGATTGATAACATTGTAAGGCTGCTCCTGGTTTAACTTTGGTTGAAAAGTGTGTTGACCATCATAATTATTGTTTATAAGCTGGGGTGGCTGCTGCTGCTGACTAAAGTCAGTATTGTTCCATGTTTGATTATAGCCATATTGTTGATGAGCCCAGTCTTGTTGGCCATCAGTATCCTGTCCCTGAGTTTGTTGACCTAGCACTTGCTGATTCACCTGCTGGCCAGGATCCTGGTACTGCTGCTGGTTGTAGTAATGTTGATGCTGTTGTTGACTTTGGTGATAGAACTGACCTTGATAAACTGATGCATCAACATTTCCTGGAACATTTTGGACTTGATTTGTATTGACTTGCTGGTTAGTGTCAGTAACTTGCCCTTCATTTCCACCTGAATTCCATTGTGATGGGTTCCAATCCCATGAACTGTTCAAATCGTCAGCTTGCTTTTGGCCACTGGCTTGTATTTGACCACTCTGATCAGAGTTGTAAACATAATTACTTGTCTGAGAAGTAGCTGCTCCAAAATCCAGTGGATTAAATAACTTCACTCCTCCAGTTCCTGTCCCAGTCTGTGCTCCCTGTTGATACTGCCAGGGAGCTGAATTGCTCATACTGAAAAATTTCAAAAGTTTGTCAGTTTCACTTTACAGTATCATTATTGAATTACCATTACAAAGTAATAAACAACTCTTCTACAAAGTTTATCCAAAGCAATGGTAATTCATGATTGACGTAAATCTTAATCTAAAGATTTTCATTGATACCTTATCTGTCAATTTTGAAAGGTTTTAAGTATAATACTTGATTGTCTCATAGCGACAGTATGCATACATGACAATATTTTCAAAGATGGCAACATTTCTTATAGCATACAACTGCCACAAGGAATCATTGGTAAATCATCGGACTATTTCCACCAATAAGAAAGCTAGGATTGGTTGTAACAGCTAGGTCTAAAGGCTGTGACAAGAGAGAAAAAAAATGTATAAAATTAAAAAAAACAAACACAGGCTGATGGAAAATACCACGAAGTGTATTTCCTTTACATGTCAGACAAAAAGCAGAATGTATCAATCTATATTGTGATGTTATGACAACAATGGCATGTACACATATATATGCCATCATCATCATGATCATGATGGAGGGATCAATTTCAATTTTGAGGGGCAATGGCCGAAAACAGGACTGGCCTTGATGAATTAATTGACCTGTTGAATATATCATTGGACTGTCAAATTACACACACTTAATATAACGTGTGTATATATGTATACTGATCCCACAATCGTAATAAATAAGTAATTATATGTAGGTTATGGTTAATGCTCGTCAAGCCCGTGATACAAAAATGTACTTAACAGAACAGCATCAATATCATTTTATAACGGATACGTTGATAAAAATATGGAACTATTTGATAACTAGCATATTCCATTTCATTTTCATCAACGTATTTACTATTAAAAGTAAGCATGCTGTGATCAGCTGGCAATGGCTGTCAAGTCTGCCATACGTCTTTCCAAATTTACCTGATGATATGACTCCAGAATATCAAGATTGGGGAATTCGTCCACTTCTATGACCTGAAGATAACTTCGAGGAGCATGGTATACATTTTGAGTAAATTAATGAGTGGAAACCTAAGATAAATATCAGACAGTTTCGGCCACAAGGGTCCCAAAGAGTGTCGCCATATTGCTTGTAATGGTTACGTGTGACGTTGCGTACGGTAGAACATCTCACAGATTATAAAATGGTATAGCCTTCTTTAAGCGTTTCAAGACAGCTTAGTATAACCGTTCATATGGATACATAGGATATATGGTATCAACTGGCAATAAGTACTTCGGATTTCCGGGCTAGCTGGATATTTATCCAACAAAAAGAGTTAAAAGAGAAAAGCAACACCGGAAGTGGTATTTTACAATTTCCGGTCATGCCCACACGTTTGTTAACGTTACACGTCACTGCAATACGTGTAGTGGTACATTTTGGTAGATGTGACTGTGATAAACTGATAGAAGAATAACATAAAATTCGGGAAAATGGTTCTTATGACAACCATAGCGAGAGTGGCAGACGCGTTACCCCTAGCTGCATCTATGCAAGAAGATGAAACGGTAAAAAGACACAAATTCTGTCATTTTGTTGTGACTGGTGTGTTGCAACATGCGTGTAATGTTTACTTTCACAATGTCCACCTCTGTCAAAATATTCCGCTGATTTTATTTCATCAGGTATATTTCAATGACATATTGAGAAATGCGTATTTGTACTGGGGAAACAAGTTTCTTTAGAAGTAGAAGTTTTTGAATTTAGCATATTGATACAATATGCATATGGTTCACAATGGCTTGGCTTGTCTTGTGACTGTAGTCAGGACCAATTGACTGCTACCAAGACAAATGAAAATCACTAATAAAGACATTAAGTCCAAGCATATCAACCACAACCAAGACAAGTAACAAATAGGTAAAAAGTTAGGTCTTCATGTGCAGTCAGAACCTTTCAAACTAGTATTGACAGGTTGGGGCTGGGATCAGAATGCACATAAACATATGTTTTATGTGCTTTCTCATCTGCCAATGAAATCATGGAGAGGTAAAGCCCATGTAGTGACATGCGTGTTACAAAAATAACAAGATGCCCATTTTCATCAACAGAATTTCCAAGATTTTAAAAAAAATTGTCTTCAGTCTTAGCAGAAACAGTTCTTGTTGCTATTTCTTGAAAAGTACATGGATGGGATTGGTCTTTCTTAGATTTCAGATGAGGGTGTCCTTGGTTCCAGGTAATGTCTTTCATTTTAGAACTGATAAGCAAACCAAAATTGCAGACAGGTTGCCATCTTGAATTTTGGCAATGAAAGAATTTTGTCCATGTTCATATATAGGTTTCCCTTAATCCTTTTTTATTTTGAGACTGGTAAGAGAAAGGCAATAGCTGTGGGCAGCAACTTGGATTTTTACAATGACAGTTTTTGTTTCAATTTTAACATTTCGTGAGAATAAGAAGATGGTCTTTTTCAAATTTGATATTTAGGTACACATTAGCCCCTAGTGGTTCCTTTTCAATTTTAAGACTTTAAAATTATGAAAATGTTGATTGGACTTGTCCCAGGAAATAAAAAAAATCTCAAGGAAAATCAATACATTGATTTTAAGAATTCTTGTCCTCAACATGCAATATGTAATGAAATGTTTCTTGTTTTGCAGTTACTTACTGTTTAATACCTTATACTAAATATGTTTAAAATCTGATAGTTAATGGTATTTTCTAAGATCATTAAGTACTTAAATGCATTTTACAATATTATATATGTCATCAAAATTTTGAATTACGGTAATTTGTGCGATATCATGAAGTAGAAGAAAAATCCATCTTTTGGGCTAAATCTCAAAAATAGTCTTCATATGAAATGTTACTTGATTAGTAAATGCTAATCAAATTGCAATTTGTAACAATTTTAAAACAGACTGTATTCAGTCAAACATAAATTTGTATCAATAAATGTGACTAACAACATAAATGTTAAATATTTCAATATGCATGTAAATGTTTCTTTTTCTGCAGGCCGGGAGAAGTTTGATGGATTTCCAGACACAGTCTAAACAGTTATTCAAGAAAATAATGTCAGATCCTCAACCTCCAGCTAGATGCAGTCTTGAGACAGGTCCATACATATTCCAGTAGGTGTCCCCTAACACACATGTAATTTCTTGTAATGTAATTGTGGCAAAGTGGTAAAGCATGACAGTGTGGTAATTTGGTACTACAAGTTGGCCATGCAGCATCAGAATGTTTATGCCAAGAGATCAATTGCCATTTTGTTACAAAATATCCCAAAATGAACACAAAGAATGTCATACATCTATATTATAAACTTGAGTCTATGTTGAACTTGGTTGAAAGGTAAAAAAACAATATCCAGTAAAAGTTATAATAGCATTAAATTGATATTTCAACTTTCGTATTCATGTAGTAAACTACATTCATCGTGATCATGCCATTCAAATGATCTTTAAGATAATTACAGTATTCGACCCGTTACACACCAACAGAGCTATATAAATTTAATAGGGCTATATGTGATGAGATTAGAATCATACTGGGAAAATACAGTGCACTTTTGTTTATAAAGGTTGGCAGTAAAATCATAGTTAAAATGTTGTAAATTACCTTATATATTAGTTTCTTCTGTTGTGGGAGTCCTGCTTTGTTTAAATAGGCTCAAAATACATCTTAATTGTGCATAATGGTGAGTACTAAATTTGCATCAAAATGTTGCGTTTGGAGTCTATAAATGGGGGAGGATGCTTATAGGAACATGGTCATTTAGTGGGTCAAATATGATGTTAATGTTATAATGTTGAGAGTAACAGGAAATTAATTGCAATTACTTAAAAAAATTTGTTGTAGCTGTAAATAGTACAGGCATTTCTAGGCTTAGTAATTTTTTGTGATGGATACTGAATTCAAATTATGGCACTGCTACACAATTAAGAATTATCTTCATTTATTATATGTGTGGTAATATTTATGTAACTACTTATACTACATAACATAGTATTTACTGTAACATCAGACTGTTAGGAATAAATCTGATTGTCTAGGTATATTTTGCAACTTACATGAAGGTAAAGATACTGTTAAATGAGGATAGATTGTTGATGTGCATAAAGTGGAAGAAACATGAATATGCAGCCGATGTTGTACTGTAGTTTTTCATCTTTTTTCATCTTTGCGCTTGCTTTTTTTTTTTTACTTGTAAGAATATATTTCTAGCTAGAATAGCTAGAATTACTAGATAGTCATCCCAGTATTTTTTTATTAAAGTAATTTGAATATCTTTGCATTTAATATAATTATATATGTTTTCTTTTGCAGCTACCTGATTGAAAGAGGTGTATGTTTTCTCATATTGTGTGAAAAGTCATTTTCAAAAAGACTTGCATTTTCCTACTTAGAGGATTTACAATCAGAGTTTAATTCACAGTATGGTAAAAAAGTAGAAACCGTTTCCAGACCTTACAGCTTTATTGAATTTGGTAAGTACAACTTGATGTTGACATCAAAGTGAAAATGCAAGTTAGAAACTGTTGGGACATTTATTAGGTTAGTTATCTGATTGTTTTGTCCTTTTCTTCCATCAATATCAATCTGGGAGGGCGAAAAATAAAAGAAACATTTCACCAGGTAACCTGGTAAATGATGCCAATAACTTCATTTCAGTGTATTACATGATCCAAAAGGCAGGCAAAAACAAAGTTTCCAATTATCAAGAACAACTGAAATGCCTGATCATTGATAATCTCATAAACTCCTGTTTCCTCAATTCGTTATCACATTGTATTATAATTAAAATGATGTGACAGCTATTTTGTACTGAATTTAATCTTAAGAACAAGTTATCATTGCTTTCAGAAAATCATGGCTTTTGATAGTTTCTTCTCTTGAACAGATACATACATACAGAAAGCTAGAAAATCCTACATGGATTCTAGAGCAAGGAAAAACCTGTCTTCTATTAACACTGAATTACAAGATGTACACAGAATCATGGTCCAAAATATTGATGATGTTCTGGATCGTGGAGAGAAATTATCAGGTAATTATGTTTAGATACATGTATATGTACAATTCCACAATTAATTTTGAAATATGGAACATCTTACAGATTAATAATTATCTCACAGCTTGTGTAACAAAAACTTTGTCAATGTCTCAATATTTTGATTTCTTGATTTAATTCTACATAATGATGGTTTTATCAGAATATGTAAAGTCAATTGTTATACTGATTAAGGTGAAGATTATCTCTATAGAAAAATCACACTTTATTTGGTGTTTTTAGTATAACACAACTGGTAATAATTTGTACCTGACTTAATCTTTCAGAATTGGATTCTAAAGCAAGCAGTTTATCAGATATGTCAAAGACCTACAGAAAAGATGCCCATAATCTGAATTTGCGATCATCCTATGCTAAGATAGGAGCAGTGCTAATTATAGTGATTGTGTTCTTACTATTCCTGAGGTATTGGTGGTGGTGAGAACTGGATAGTGCAATCTGTATGTTTAACGTGAACATTCATAGTTTCCTAGTATTTCCTTTCTTCAAAGGCTATGGGGAGGGTAATTTTCATCAGGTGCAAAGACTTTGTTCATTTTAATGTGTGGCTGTCTTTGAAAAATAGGATGTCATACCGGCAAAACTTCCCAGACTTGTGGGAGGCTTCCTATTTCAGCTACCTTGCCCAGTCTCTTGATTGAATTGATATTGAAAATTGAGAAATTTCCTGATTTTCAGGAAATCCCACTTGGCAGGTCACAATTTCATGTCTAGTCACAGGACTGGAGGTCCCTTGTCATAAATGACACTAATTGAAGGACAGCTTAGCTGTCAAAGGGATTTTTACCTACCAGTAAAGCCTCAGTGATCTTTGTACTATGTAAATCTTGAAATCACAGTTAAAGCCAATCTAAGAATTACTGTCATGGTGTCTATTTTATGCCATCTTTAAACAAGTTATTTGACTAACTCATTTGAACTTGGAACATTTATTATTGACAAGACTGTCTGTACAATAACAAAATGATAGGAAACAAGGTAAAAAGACAGAAGTGATCAAACTAATATGATGGTTGGTTCTACTTTGGGATCTCTTGATATGAGGAACTGTTTAATCATTTCATTATGAAATCAACATCTAACAAATTTCCTGTTATAATGCTTTTTTTATTTAACTTCTGATACAATGTGTATGAATGTTGTGTAGAATATACATGAAGAAAGACCTTTTGTTCCAAGCCTGCTATTGCTTTAAGATGAAATCGTTGTCAGATGCTTTGAAGCATGTTTGTAATCGTTGGTGTTTTGTTGAACTAAGAGTTTGACTCGTAAAACATTTTAGCTTAGGTTATGAGAAATTTGTTGATAAATCAGATAAGTTATACATAATTTGATTATATTTTCACACCACAAAAGTTATTATGACCCATAAAGTGTGATTTGTTTACAGTATAGCATGTGACAAATAGTATGCATACATCATTGTCCATTTTGTATGATACTTAGATGGATTGTATGCTTGAAGATAGAAGTTCCCAAACAAGCATGTATTCAAACAGGACTTAATTTGTATACTGATACAAGGCATACATTTTGAATATGTATTTTCTAGTTTGACTTTTAAGAAATGTTTGTGTGATGTTGCTTTTTAACTTTTCTGTCATCAAATCTCATTTAATTTACATTTACATTATTGATAAGAGTACAAGTATTATTCTGTATAAACAAATGCTTATATTGAAGGTATGAGTGACACAGGTAACATAGGGTTGTTAATTTCCTAAATTTATTTACAATGAAAGACTTAGATTTGAAGTTGAAAAATGATGTAATTGAGTCTGAATAAGTCTCCAGCTGATCAAATCAAATTGTACATTTTGTTTTGCTTTTGTTTCTGAGCACATTGACAAAGTAGTCAGTTACATTCAGGTACATGTGTGTTGTTAATGAGGCTTGAAGTTTACTGACAAGTACATATGATAAATATGTTTTTTAGAAAATGAATTGCCTTTTCCCTCCAAGATAATCACTGCCTTGAATAAGAAATTGTGGAATCCACTCCTATTGATTTGTAAACATTATTGCCTGGTATACTAGATAAGGATGTGATATGTATTTCAAATAATTTCAGTAGAAAAAAACACAATTTCAAGTCAAAGGAAGATTTAATTTTAGGTGCTGGTTGTTACGTTTGCTGGTACTCTGATGATTGTGTTCTGATGTTTCCAGACCCTTTAAATAAATCTTTGGATATGATTATAAGCATAATATTGTATGTGAGATACATGTCATTTATACACTGCCCATTGTTTCTGTAGACTATAATTACTGTTACTGACTGCTCATGTCATGTATACCACTTTCTCCAACACAGCCAAATACATGTGATTTAGGCCTGTTCATTACATATTAGTAATTACACAACAAATAGAACAGACATGGTTTATGTGCATGTATAGGGTGGTCTGTATAGCTACAAAATTGTGATCTGTAGATATGTTTACAGTTGCCCCATCACATATTTGTTGTGAATGATGACCTTTCATTTCACTCATTATTATAACAAGGTGAAAATCTTTTATATATGATTTGGTAAAAAATGTTTGCTTGCATCAAAAATCTTAGCATCTTGTCTTTGTCCTAAGTATGAACAGTTCTACATCTTTAAATGCTAGACTTGTTACTATATACAGAAAGGGTCAGTCTACCGTTAGACTTATGGTGGTCGAAAATTAAATATTTTATTCAATTTTTAGATTTTTCTCTTTTCTTTTCAAATTTCAACTTTTCACATGATTGATATTTCTAATAACAATTATAAGATATACCATGAGTAAGTGTGTTTATACTTGATATGATTTCAGTTGGTAATACATATAGCTGTAGAAATGTAAAATGACATAGAAAATAAGTAATTCATGGCCTTGTTGAGTGATTCACTTGTCTTACCTTGGAAAATACATTTTATAAACTGCCAGGCATATATGTATACATGTATGATTGTGTATGTGAATGAAATATATATTTATTGCAAACAATAAAAATACATTATAGATATGTGAAACTCTTTGTTTTCTTTAGAAAAGTACATATAATGTATCTTTTTATCATTTGTTTGTAGGGAAGTGGGAGATGGGGAAAACAGGGTAGTGACACGATCACAAGTTCACACATCACTTAACACCTCCTTGGGTTTTGCATATACAACAACAATGTATAATATAAAGTGCATTTCTTACAGAAGTGCTTTCAGTGAATATTTAGCAGAAGTACACCTGATACATTGTACCGTAATTCTTCAACTCTTAATTAGCCAAGCACTATCATAATAAGTACATAATTAAAAAAAATTATGGATTTCACAACAGAGGGCAGGTGATCAGCACAGCTGTGAAAGTATCCATGCTGCCAAAGACGACCTTTGTGCAAAGAATATTTCACTAAAACCTGCATGTCTTCAACCAAAACCAAAGTTATTTTTTTGATTGTCTACATCTGATGAGCTGTCCAAATTGCCTTTCCTTGTCCCTCCTGTCCTCACATAGTGTTGTTATTTTTGAAGATGTTCTGGGTTGTGCATCATCAATTTTATGACTAATAGGATAAACAATATTGCAGTAAATGGTCATCTTGGATTTTAGTTTTAAGTTTCTTGAGACATGCATTCGTAATTTGGTATATCTTTTCATTTCATTGTTCTATTGTTAGACTTTTTGGAAAACAAAATGGCTGACAGGCTGTCATCTTAGAGTTTTAGTGTGTTTTTGATATAGTTGTATCCTGCACATGGCACGGTTCAGAATATACACAGACACTTGATGTTGTATTGAAATTATCAGATGCATGAATATTACAAAAATTTTTGAAATATGGGGCAAGTGCACCTCCTCATGTAGATTTTGACATTTTCCCAACAACTTTCAATTTTCTTTAGTCGCCTATGAGGTTTTAAAATTTAGACCCTTAGCGTATCATTGACCAGTCTTAGAAGGACAAAGGAACTGTCAGATGCAGATTGCTTTATTATTTGGTTCTAACTATCCAACTCTAAATTCAAATTAAAGGGTGTTATTCATTGTGTCTTTTGTACAATTCTCTCGAGATTTTTGGATGGAACATTCTCAAATTTCATATGAATATTCCTTGTAGTCATGTATTGTGCATGTCAAATATGGCAACTGATATTATGGAGGGGAAAAAGTGGTCTACAGTTTGACATCACAGATTTGAAAAGCATTTATTTCTGAAGATTGGATGAATGAGATTTTCTTGAGTGTTATATGCACACTACCTTTGGTACAATTTTGGGCTAATTGTTTGCTGAAAAGCCAAAAGGCTGTAATAGTGGGTGTAAAACCCATTAAACAGATAAATTAAGTTGGGTATGTCTAATGAATGGCCGACAAGCGACTATCTTGGATTTTGACTGCTAGTGTTTATTCTTATATTCCATATTCAATTTAATTTTCTAATGATCAAGAAATTGTCATCCTGAAATTTGACAACAAAATTGCTGTAGCTTTTACTTGAGAAGCACTTGATGTATCATTATAAAATCCCATTGATAATTCTAGCTTATTGCTTTTTGTGCCCGTTTGATGTTGGGACCAATTAAAATGAGGACAACCAGAACGCCATCATGTTTTTAATCATATTTCGGGGTGTGAAAAACCTTCTTGCCAATCTCATTGAAATACAGATCATCATTATACACTTCATTCTAAAGTGTATCATGATAATCTGTATTTTAATCAGATTGCTTTCTTGATGGGTGTTTAGTTTATCTTCCCTACTAATTCTGTGCTAACGCCAATAGTGTATACTATTAGTGTCCCTTGTAATTGAGGCATTGTGGACAATAACTAAAATAAGTACACTAAGTATCCCCGTGTCTGTTTTTATTAGCTATTAATTATGTATTACTTGTTAACAATTTGCCTTCGGGATTTAAAGACGGTCGAGAAATGCTGCTTTGTTATTTTTCGTTCAAGGAGGCTTGTTGAAATAGCTATTAGCCACATATCCTTTCGAAGGCCCCATTTTTATTCTACTTTCGGTTTGTAGAAGTCTAACGGGGTTTTCCTAACGAACACGGCGGTGTAAACTGCATGTAGGAAGTAAGTATACGAACGAGAATTTCGTCCTTTCAATATCTTTCTCAACTGTTTAATAACAATACGGATCCCAAAGTCACTGTTGATTGGCATGACGATAAATTAAACGATCAATCACTCGAGTGTTGGACCAGGAAATATTTGTAAAAATGGAAGTCAAAGATAGGCCTTGTGAAGTACAATACGCCACTTTGTAGGCATATCTTAATATTCAAAATACAAATCTTCAATAACTTTTACAGTGAAACACTAATAACGTATATAGGATATTACTACTAGGCATATATGTGATCTATGTATATTTATACGAATATTTTTTTAAAAGTTGTACTGGCAAACTCCAAGGCGCTCATTCTGATCAGTGTCGTTCAAGCGTTTGGTCGCTTACTTGCGGAGTCCTAATAAGGGAGCGTATGTTTTTGTTTATTTTGTTTGCAATGTATTTTACGGAGGGGGAAAATTAAAAACAACATCTCAGTTTACTTCTGCTGTAAAACAATGGTTAATGTAACGAAAATTGCTACTAGGCTGGCATACGGAGATCGCCGAACGGAACCTCTCTGTTACATTCTCCCCACACTCGTTTCTCTCGTTTCTCCTCCATATGTCTATATATAAACAGAGCATTAGTTAAATGGAAATTTCAAAAATGACACATAAACGATCTACAATATATCAGTTATGTAATCACATATATTATATTCTATGGGGTTGAATCGGCACATTATGCTTGTAGGTTACTAATAATTTTCCAACAAAGTAATGTAAATATATGTAAATCCGACACATTTACATGAAAATCAGAAAGAAAACGCGCGGACAATGTTCTGGGTTAAAATTTCGGTTCGATCTATGCCTTTGTAAAGACAAAATAATCTTATAAAAGCTTACTAAATATCGAACAATGATATCATTACAAAGCACAAATATAGAAAAAGAATAGGCAGGACATAGCCGAAGACAATGGTAAATGTATAGATACAGCAAGTATCCGATTTGCAAGGTAGGTAAACAAGATCGGGATGAGTATCACCTAATTAAAGGGATTAAAGACCTAGTAGATGACGGTACAGTAGATAAAATGACTCTAGATCAATATAAACCAATATTCGTTGGGTCAGGGACGTATAATACTGTATTATACGTCTCTGGTTGGGTGTACATTACTAGAATGTATATCACATATACCACAGTTGTTATTGTACCATCACAGAAAACATTTAAAACCATCAATATTTTATCAAGACAACATAAACATGTATATATTTATCGTTTTCAATATTAGAAAACATTCATCATGTAATAATTTTCATAGTGAATGCACCGATAAAACGACTCGGCTTAGCTTAAAAGAATGTCGATTAGGTATGTTATGTTTCATTTTTTAAAACAACACAACAAACGTGATATATAAAATGAAGTACAATAGAAATTAATTTGAATGTTGCTGTGTTATTGTGAAATGAACGAGGATAATGTTAAGACAGAAAAACTCAAAGTTTTTTGTTTTTTGTTTTTTTTTACAGTCAAAATGGCGAACGAAAAATCATGGCAGAGCGGGAAACCACTGATGAAGTGCATTAATACCATGCTTCAATATCAAGTGGCTACAGACGTTACATTTGTTGTGGAAGATTGCGAAATTAAAGCCCACAAGTTTATCCTTATCAGCAGAAGTCCTTCATTCGAAGCCATGTTCAGTGGTCGTCTGCCAGAACCAAATGAAATCAAAATCACGGATGTGTCCAAAAAAACCTTCAACATGTTTCTGAGGTAGTCTTATTTTTCATTATTGGAGTGATAGTGTAGCATCGCTACTTTTAACCGGAAGTTAAGGCGTTTTAGCGTATAACTATGGTACTGTATGTTGAAATTCAACATAAATAAAAATAGAATCTAATGGAAAGCTGCAAACGGCATTTCTGATGAGCCTTGGACAGCTGGCTTGTTGGAACCATTTCGCAGAACGGACTTAAAAGTTCCAACCTATTGGTTTCCAGAACATATACCAATATAAGTCCTGATCTGTAAAATATTCTCATAAGAATTCATGTAACAAAACATGAAATGATTAGCAAACAATTAAATTCAATTAAACTTATGTATTACCTTCAGGGTGGCATCAGATTGGTAAATATTGATGTATCGATAGAAAATATAACCCAAAATAGAAAATACTTTTCATACGACTCGAGGACCTAAACTTAAAAACAGCAAATTTGAATATGAGAATGTTAATGACAATGCGCTCTCGCTTAGGTAGTTTCTATTACATAATATATTATTTGATTCACGCTGAAAAAAATCCCGTTATACAGTTCGTTTTATAGTCAATAAGCCCAAACCGTTTGAAATCATAAGCAAAAATTGTTTCGATGACGGATGTTTGCTTCTACGTACATGCTCATCTACCTAAAATTAATCTAAAAATACAAAGCGGGTATAATTGATTTCGTGAACATTTACATTTACTTAAAAAATTACAGGTACCTGTACACGGACAACATCGCTATCGACATCGATAATGTGGCGGACATTCTTAAAGTCGCAGACAAATATCTAGTCGACATATTGACAGAGAAATGTCATGCTTATGTCAAAGAACATCTTAATCCTGACAACGTTTGTCTTATGAAAGAACGATGCCATGCATTTCCTAACGAAAAGTTGTTATCAGAATGTCGTCGTATCGAGGAAGAAGCGGCCTGCGCTATTCTTGAATCCACGGGTTTCACAGAACTCTGCAAGGATTGTGTTAAGGAGATGATTTCCTCTGACTGTCTCCCTGTAGATGAACATTTTGTTTTCGAAGCTGTGATTCGGTGGGCTGAAGAAGAGTGTAGGATGAAAGGCGTTGAATTGACAGATGAAAACAGAAGAAAGTATTCATATGACCTCTTCGATCATATCCGATTTCCGATCATGAATGTTGGCTACTTTTGTAAAACGCTGTTCAATATGTCAGTTCTGAGCGATAGCGAGCTGGTAAAATTACACAGATACATCCATAAACAAGAATCCTGGAAGCAGACGCGGTCAACTCCGGGACAGGCTGATCAGGGAGTGTGTGATACAATCAAACATCCAATCGTTGGTCGGTCAACACAGTCAACCGATGAATCGTGCAGCCAAAGATTTCAAAGTATGAATAATACAGGTGAAGCAAGTCAAGTAACAGACGCCACAGATGATCTAAGCGCCTGCTTATGCGGCTTTAAATGTACGGAACGTGTACGCTACCGTAAGGGCAAGTATACAGTTGTTTGTCGTCAGTTACCAGCGAAAAGTAGATATAATAGTGTTCTTGGTACCAGCACCCAAATAATTGCTGTTAGTGAACACTTCCGATGTTCATCACCCATTTATCTTCATGGAATCACAACTGTTTTCAGCGGAGACCATATCAGCGTGAAGGTCAATGACGAAGACGTCCGAATCGAGTTGGCCGACGGAAATCTGAAAACTGTAAAGTTTCGGAAAATCATCCAAATTTACCCTGAAAGTGATAATGTCATATATTTAATGGTGGGGAACGAGGAGAAGAACCTGCTGAGAAACACGTTATCGAATACTATCACATTTGATGGGGTAACTATAAAATTTACTGATTCGGGAAACAACTCTAATGGATACGTGACAGGGCTATTATTATCTAAATGATCAATATATCATCGAACAAAAAGTACAGAGAATACAGTGACTGTTGATAGTCAGTCTCCTATTGTATAATGTAGCCAGTCTCATATTGGTTGATAGAGTTAATCTTCTGTCGCATAATGAAGTCAGTCTTCCATTAAGTGATATAGCCAGTCCTCTATTGGATGATAGTGTCAGTCCTCTATTGGGTGATAGTGTCAGTCCTCTATTGGGTGATAGTGTCAGTCCTCTATTGGGTGATAGTGGAAGTTCTCTATTGCATGATAGTGTCAGTCCTCTATTGGATGATAGTCAGTCCTCTATTGGGTGATAGTGTCAGTCCTCTATTGGGTGATAGTGGAAGTTCTCTATTGCATGATAGTGTCAGTCCTCTATTGGGTGATAAAGTCAGTCCTCTATTGGGTGATAGTGTCAGTCCTCTATTGGGTGATAGTGTCAGTCCTCTATTGGGTGATAGTGTCAGTCCTCTATTGGGTGATAGTGTCAGTCCTCTATTGGGTGATAGTGGAAGTTCTCTATTGCATGATAGTGTCAGTCTTCTATTGGATGATAAAGTCAGTCCTCTATTGGATGATAGTGTCAGTCCTCTATTGGGTGATAGTGTCAGTCCTCTATTGGGTGTTAGTGTCAGTCCTCTATTGGGTGATAGTGTCAGTCCTCTATTGGGTGATAGTGGAAGTTCTCTATTGCATGATAGTGTCAGTCTTCTATTGGATGATAAAGTCAGTCCTCTATTGGATGATAGTGTCAGTCCTCTATTGGGTGACAGTGGAAGTTCTCTATTGGGTGATAGTCAGTCCTCTATGGGGTGATAGTGTCAGTCCTCTATTGGGTGATAGTGGAAGTTCTCTATTGGGTGATAGTGTCAGTCCTCTATTGGGTGACAGTGGAAGTTCTCTATTGGGTGATAGTGGAAGTTCTCTATTGGGTGATAGTGTCAGTCCTCTATTGGATGATAGTCAGTCCTCTATTGGGTGATAGTGTCAGTCCTCTATTGGATGGAATAGTTAGCTCTCTATTGGGTGATAGTGTCAGTCCTCTATTGGGTGATAGTGTCAGTCCTCTATTGGGTGATAGTGTCAGTCCTCTATTGGGTGATAGTGGAAGTTCTCTATTGCATGATAGTGTCAGTCCTCTATGGGGTGATAGTGTCAGTCCTCTATTGGGTGATAGTGTCAGTCCTCTATTGGGTGATAGTGGAAGTTCTCTATTGCATGATAGTGTCAGTCCTCTATTGGGTGATAAAGTCAGTCCTCTATTGGGTGATAGTGTCAGTCCTCTATTGGGTGATAGTGTCAGTCCTCTATTGGGTGATAGTGTCAGTCCTCTATTGGGTGATAGTGTCAGTCCTCTATTGGGTGATAGTGGAAGTTCTCTATTGCATGATAGTGTCAGTCTTCTATTGGATGATAAAGTCAGTCCTCTATTGGATGATAGTGTCAGTCCTCTATTGGGTGATAGTGTCAGTCCTCTATTGGGTGTTAGTGTCAGTCCTCTATTGGGTGATAGTGTCAGTCCTCTATTGGGTGATAGTGGAAGTTCTCTATTGCATGGTAGTGTCAGTCTTCTATTGGATGATAAAGTCAGTCCTCTATTGGGTGATAGTCAGTCCTCTATTGGGTGACAGTGGAAGTTCTCTATTGGGTGATAGTGTCAGTCCTCTATTGGGTGAATATTGGGTGATAGTGTCAGTCCTCTATTGGGTGAGTGGAAGTCAGTTCTCTATTGGGTGAGTGTCAGTGATGATAGTTCTCTATTGGGTGATAGTGTCAGTCCTCTATTGGATTGGTGAGCTCTCTAGTGGGTGAAGTGTCAGTCCTCTATTGGGTGATAGTGTAGTCCTCTATTGGATAGTGTCAGTCCTCTATTGGGTGATAGTCAGTCCTCTATTGGATGATAGTCAGTCCTCTATTGGGTGATAGTGTCAGTCCTCTATTGGATGGAATAGTTAGCTCTCTATTGGGTGATAGTGTCAGTCCTCTATTGGGTGATAGTGTCAGTCCTCTATTGGGTGATAGTGTCAGTCCTCTATTGGGTGATAGTCAGTCCTCTATTGGGTGATAGTGTCAGTCCTCTATTGGGTGATAGTCAGTCCTCTATTGGGTGATAGTCAGTCCTCTATGGGGTGATAGTGTCAGTCCTCTATTGGGTGATAGTGGAAGTTCTCTATTGCATGATAGAGTCAATCTTCTATTGGATGGTAGTGTCAGTCCTCTATTGGGTGATAGTCAGTCCTCTATTGGGTGATAGTGTCAGTCCTCTATTGGGTGATAGTCAGTCCTCTATTGGGTGATAGTGTCAGTCCTCTATTGGGTGATAGAAATTGTCTTGTATTTGGTGATAACGTGCTGAATTGTGCTACAATTCCTACTTATATATAACTGGATACACCCACTACATTGTTTATCGTTGTTATAACCAGTTTATACTCAGAGTACAGGGAATGCATTAAGTTTGTCTTCAAGATGATTGCGGCAACCAGAAAAATAGTGTTTTATGAATCTATGACAAAGATGTGTTTATTCTTAACAAGATCATAAGCCAACGGCGTTCAAAATGCTTGATTGTTTGTATTATATTACAAGTGCATGTTCATCATTTGTAGTTTATAGCAACGGAACAATAGACCAATTTGTTGTTAATTGTTCAATCGACATCTGTACATTGGTGTTAAATTTCCTTTTTCCACTAACAAAACGTATATTGTTTAAATATTTCAATGTGACATAGTACAATAAAATATGATACTTGCATGCATGTATGTTTGTAAATGTTTGCGCGTTTCTGCATGTGTCTGTGCACGTCAAGGACTATGTTTGTGTTTTATATATTTTCAAATCAATATCGAACTTTCCTTTATTTTACTCTCCCTACCTTTCATCCATAAGGATATGGAATAAAACCCTGGCCCGAAAGAAATGCCATTTTTCATATAAATGACCGAAGTGTTTGAAATAAACTGTTACATGTTATATCAGTTTACTTCAGCATTACTGATGTTTGAGGACGAATCAATTGTTTAATTCATTATTTAATAATGATTGACCTACTTCCAAATGTTTCTTGACAGGTAAACCTGTTTGTCCTTTGTATAATATTTTATATACTTTATGGTTAGGTCTTCTCGACTTTTTATATGCTCTGAAAGGACAGAGAAGATTATATTCCTATCGAGTACTCGGTATTTAGTATATCTTCATCAATCTGTGCATTTTGTACATCTTCATCAATCTGTGCATTTTGTACATCTTCATCAGTATTTGTATTTGGTATATCTTCAGCAATCTGTGTATTTGGTATATCTTCAGCAATCTGTGTATTTGGTATATCTTCAGCAATCTGTGCATTTGGCATATCTTCATCAGTCTTTGTATTTGATATATCTTCATCAGTCTTTGTATTTGATATATCTTCCTCAATCTTTGTATTTGGCATACCTTCTTCAATCTGTGCATTTGGCATATCTTCATCAATCTGTGTATGTGCATTTGGCATATCTTCATCAATCTGTGTATGTGCATTTGGTATATCGTTATTAAGCTGCGTATGTGTATATTATGATATAAGTATATCATGATAAAACTTATTAAGTATTTTTCTTATAAAATATGCAATGTGTTATAATAATATAAACATATATTTGCTATACATGTATTAAAGGAAAGCTGTATTTTTCATTCATTTTTTCATATATATATGGCACATTAAAATAAAGTTGTATAGTTTATATATTTTGTATGTGTATTTGTTATAAAGATGTATAAATTTTGTATATGCAGTATTTAGTGAATTATATCGTTTAAAGCTGTGTACACAGTATGTTAAGATAAGGCTGTATTTTCCCATTTAAACTGCAACCAGGAAGAACAATGCAGCAAATAGCAAATTCATCACGTGTATACCTGTTTTGCCTTGTCAAAATTTGCTCGTCTGGGTACTGTTTCTACGCTCAAGTTGAAACTCGGCGTTATGGATTTTTTGGAAGACATGAAAACAGGAAGGAAAACGTAAACAGAGGCTTGTGAACAAGAAGCAAGATATCTAAGTATACTTAATATGTATTGTCACCTATATTTTTGTTTCTTGTCTTATCACTCTGTTTGTGCAGATATGTGAGAAGAATTAATACCTCATTTTCATAAGACACGTATAAACTGGCAGCGGGAATAGTAAGTACTTCAAATTGATATACAACAAATGATGTTTAAAACATTTTCATAGTTAAATTTCTTTCTGAAATTCAGTTCATTCTTTTAGATTTGAAAGGTGTAAGTTATCATACATAACAATGCTTATCGTTAAAATATTCAGTGTAAATCTACCCTTTATTGGGTGAGGTTATATAAAAGCATCTATAATGTAAAATAAAACAATGGAAACAGGTGTTCTGAAGTTTGTACATGGTTTTGATATTATAAAAGTAATGAAATTTAATTTGGACATTATGCAATGAACACATCTAACTTTATTAAAAGATTATTTAAAAAAAATAATGTTTCGATTTCTTGTTATGTAGTTATAATAATGTACAGACGACCAATGCTCCGGATACTTTAGCTAGGTATATAGGCATTGTATATTTGTTTCAGTCTGAATTCGTAGGCGTGTTACTTTATTATCTAAATGGATCTCTTTATCTATCAAAAGATAGAAAAGATATATATATATATATTAAGAGGTGAGAGTAGAGTTTCAAGGATTTGACACGAATTTGTTCACATGAAGTCGTTGACGATGAAAACAGTTATGTTTTACCTACTAGTATATATCATCCTAATTTTGTCTGTTATTCAGAGTACAATTCGGATTGTTTGTGCTAAGGGTCAAAATCATTAAACAAACAAAGCATTAAGAAGAAAAAGAAAAGAAAAATTCCATTAGCACTAGTTGTATAAAAGGTTTTCGGCATTGATATCAAGAAATTGAGGTCTTCTTTCTGTGTGTCAGGACATTTATTGTAATATTCATGGAGTGTGACGCATACATGTATCTGTAGTTCAAAAACGACTGCATACAGAACACATTACAAACATCATTGAATATTCTGCATATAGAAAAAGTGTTTTTAAAAAGATCATTTTGAAACAAAGCCTTTCAGAAACAAATCAATTAAAGGGATGTAGTGATCGTAACCCATAGAGTATCGGG